GCTGTCTAGCACGGTGCTTTTTTGTCAGCCTCCATCTAAGCAGGAACAAAGATGCTCCAACTCTCTTGGGTTTCTGGACAATCTTGTGGACATAATATTGGAATGCTCTATGGACTCACAAGTCTGAGGCAGATGTTCATGTTTGCAGAGGGAGACAGATGGCTTGGAAAAGGGACTGCAACTTGTAACGTGTAAATTAATCCTGTTTTGCCTCAAGTGCTTTAAAAATACCTCTGATCATATAATGAAAAGCAAAACCATTTTCTGATTCCTTTTAACTTTCTTCAACATTATTTTGTTGGACTCAAGGGTCTTCTTCTCTGACATTTTTCTATCCACAGGAGACACCTTCTAAAACAAGTGTGGGGATGTTGTTGGATTGCAATTCTAATTATCCTTCCCCATTCATAATACACTCCAGACCCTGGTGCTAACAAAGGAAGGGAGATGCTTCCTCCCATATTGCCATCCATGTTATCCTGTGGACCCACCAGCCCATTAGAATAAACAACTCATTGGACATAACTTCCTTTATTATGTGTTAATAAACTTGGGTAAGTCACAGTCTCTCAGGCAATGGCAAAACTCTTTTGAACAAACCTTGCCAAGAAAGCCTTGATAGGTTTGCTTTATGGTTGTCATAGGTTGGAAATGACTTGAAGGCACACTACAGAAACAACGAAAGTGGGATTTCTACATCTTAATTATTTTTTATTGAACAATATTTCTATCCTCACTACCTCTGAGGATGCTTGCCATAGATGAAGGCGAAACTTCAGGAGAGAATGCCTCTCTAGAACATGGCCATATAGCCCGAAAAAACCTATAACAACCCAGTTTCTATCCTATCCTTTATTTAATTCATAGGAACAGACTTGTATAACTAAGAGTGAGTAGGTTACATGTGTGAAATGCAACATTTGTGGGTATGATGATGAGGTGACTAAATCAGTGTTTCTCAAACTGTAATCCTTCAGGTGTTTTAGACTTCAGCTCCCACAATTCCTAATAGCTGGTAAGATGGCTGGGATTTCTGGGAGCTGAAGCTTAAAACACTTGGGGGAACACTGTTTCAGAAACACTGGCCTAAATCCAAGGTAAGTAGATAATTATATACATGGTTGAGGAAGTTATTAGAATGTAATATGCATTGTAGATGGATGAACTCATTCAAAGAAGTCAAGTTGCTGAGTCTGCAGAGCACACCATTAAAACTTCCTATCACTTGAGATACCTCTGCTGAATGGCACTCAGCAGATTTTTATTTATCATGCCAGAAGCAAATTGTGAGTTCTCTGCAGATGTAATGATAGCAAAGAAGAATTTCTCCACTGCCAAGGTTTTCTAATCAGATGTAAACTGTGTTCCCTAATTTCCAGAGGGAGAGTCCAACTCCATGGGGTTTTTAAAATACATGTGAAGGTGGTCTTCTAGCCACCTCCAGCTATGTTCTTAGAGATCTGGTATGGCCCACAAGGGGTTCTAAGTATGGGAAAAATTGGTCCCTGGATCCTCAGACATGCCCACTCTGTTACTAGATATGGTATCACTACATCAAAAATAGGTGGAAGAGTCAACATGCCTAATCTATAGTTGGCAAGCCCTGCATACCCTACATCCCTCCTCAGAGAAAAATCAGGATACATATGGCCAAGATACATCAGTGTGGTCAAGATGGCAGGACTTGTTAATGAAGAAGAACACACAAGCTATGAAAGGTTGCAGGGGCATACTTTTGCCTGAACCTACTGGGAAGGGCATGACTGACAACCTCAATCATAAAGTCCACACAAAGCATCCTGCTTCATCCAGGAGGAAAGAAGGAGCCGTGGGGCAAATCTGTCTCCCCATGCACAGCTCCCTCTTGGCGATGCTTTTACCATTATATGGGAAAAGTGTCTTCCTTGCAGAGAGGCCCCATGCTAGCTCCTTTGGAGCCAGCAGAACACAGGAAGACTCCCAGAGACGCTTTCACCTTAGTTGGGGGTGGGGCCTATGTGTGTGATGTCTGGTGTGGGGCTCCATCCTAAAGATGGGGTGAAAGTGTCCTAGGATGCTGCATTCACCCCATCTGATGAGGTCCTGAGTTAACTGAGAAGAAAATTCTTTTACACGTTAAACTCAGTTTGCAGTAAATGAAGTACCTGAGGACAAAAGGGGAAGGTAGGAGGAGGAGAGGAGAACTGAGACATTTTAAAAGCAACTGAAAAATTAAATGAGAGTGGGTTAATTCTGATCCCTTAATCAGAACACTTTAAAACTTTCCTTTTCCTTGGATGGCCGCATATTCTAATTCCAACTTGGAGTGTTCACATTTTTCGCCACCCCCATATATTAATCATAAAACCATCCTTTTCAGAGTCTCTTCCAAATATCAGACCTTTCTGCCTTGTATTGTGGAAACCTTTTGGTTCTCACAAAACAGCCTTCTAAATGTGTAGACTGTCATCTCTGACATCGGGCCATTTGTGACGTGAAAAACAGGGCAGACAGGAGGCCCTAGCTGTCCATCTCTCAGACTGAGTGATGTTTTAATGAGCCCAGGAAAGAAAGGACAGTGAAAGGAGCTTCATGTCTCTACAGTGAGTGTCAAGCCTGTTTTCAGACTAAAACTGCCAAGAGATCGTGTTTTGGCCTCTTGCCACTGGAATAATAAATATGAAAGCCTTTGCAGGCTTTTCCCATCCTGTCTCTTTTCCTCTTATGGGTCAGCCATGGTTTTCCATTGTACTGCACAGTCTTATTTTGATCACGGATTGGCTACTTTGCATCAAAGATTTCAAATTTATTGTTTGGAAGAACTTACATATATATTCATTTGTGCCTAAAACCCAGTCACTGGTCCCAACTAGAGGAGTTCCATTGAATTAACTAGATTTATTATCCATCATAATAAATCCAGCAGTTTATTCAGTGGGTTTTACTCTATTTTTCAATTAGCAATAGAATTTAAACCAAAGGTTGGGAATCATGAAAGGACAAGAAATTATTTCTCCCTCTGCTTGCCAGATTGCTGAACTGGTTCTGGCACAACTAGAAGTCATATCATGGTTTGGGCTGAAAACCCATGATATGACCAATGGGAGGGGACATTGAGGGTATGGCTACCTAAGCCATCATGAATTTTGTTGTGGTTTGAGTGACATCAATGTTGGCAGCAACTGGGCTTCTGCAGGGAAGGGTGTTGCAGCACAAAAGACCCTGATTGCATCTTTTTCTAACTTTTGGAAGTTAGAAATAGTTCACTATTGGCTGTGAACTAGTCTCCCTTTAATCTACCAGTTTATCTTTCTTGTTAAAAAATATCACAGTGGTTCTATATAATTTCGTCTCTAGCCTTGCTAACATCAGAAGTAGGACAACAGCCAGGCCCTTCATGCTGTGACCTTATGGCATTCAGTCCTGAAATTCAAACAGTTTCCAGACTTCTTATCCTTGGTGGATAAAGCAACTTAAATCAGCAACATCGAGAGAGAACTCTTCAGACTAAATTGCTGCAAGGGAGAGGGAGTAGAGAGATTGAAATGGGATATTTAGGTGAAAGAAAACACAAATGAAAAGAACACTAATAAATGAAATAACAATTAGGCTACAATAGCAATAAACAGAACTGTGGTGTGAAAACAACATCTATGTAGACTGATTTGCAGAACCTTGCACAGTGGCTAGTCACATCAAACTTCTGCAATCTCCATGGCTTTCCTCACCCAGACATTGGTCATGTTCTGACTTGCACTTCAAATGATGACAATTATAATGCCAGTCCAAGTTTTCTTACAATACATTCACACATTGTAAGACATAATCCATCCTTGTTATGTTTACCTGAACAGCCAAAACTGAACTGAAAGGAAATTGCATAACCTCCCATAATTCACAGATGAATACCAGCACACATCTTACTCTGCTTGCTCAGGCTACTTGTTAGTCTGCTCTCTCCAAGATCCCAAACAGTGAGAGGAGCAAAAAGAAAAGCATCATTTTTCTGCTTACCTTGCCTTCACCTTGCTTTCACATAGTTCAGCTCTGCTCAGCGGGTGAGATGAATGAGTGGCCAACACTCGTGGCAAGGAAGGGGAGCTGGGCATACACAGAGAGGAAGTCCCATTTTTAAAATCTTCAAATTCCCATTCCCCAATCATAGAATCATAGAGTTAGGAGAGACCTCGTGGACCATCCAGTCCAACCCCCTGCCAAGAAACAGGAAACTTGCCTTCAAAGCACCCCCAACAGATGGCCATCCAACCTCTGTTTGAAAGCTTCCAAAGAAGGAGCCTCTACCACACTCCAGGGCAGAGAATTTCACTTCTGAACAGCTCTCACAGGAGTGTTCTCTCCTTTTTCAGACACTGGCAACATGGATTCCCATGGACAGCCACCGGAAGTAGCTGTGTATTTTGGTATGACCTCCATCGGACTCCGTTTTCCCAGAACCTGAAAATGTAGAGAAGACACCGAGAAGACTGCATCTGATGAGATTCTAAAACAGTGTCTCACAGAATTAGAATCACAGAGTTGGAAGCGTGAAAGCATAACTAGACTCTTTAGACTAGAATATGGGAAATATGAGAGGTTACAAACTCCCAACATTCCCCAGATGGAAATTAGGATGCAGATGGCCAAGCAACATCCAAGTGTGATCAAGATAGGGAAAAGATATTCATGAGGAAGAACACACACAGTAAGGGAGGCTGCTTTGCTTTGTTAGAATACTATCTTGAGTTAGCCCTAATAATGCTAATTCTCATGTAAGTGTGTATAATTGTGACCTGACTCTTGTAAAAACTGCAACTAATTGGTCTTGCTGTGGTAGACTTCCATGAGTTGTCTTTTTGTGGTTGTTTGGATTTCAATAATATGTTTACCGTATATAGTTTGTTCTTGTTAAGACTGTGGAAAAGAAGCTGGAGATTTGAACTCTTTCTTGATTTAGAAACATGTTTTATAACAACTCAACTAAAATGCCTCCTCCCACACCTTTCCCTTGCTTTTTTTTTCAGATATGATGACTCAACTGAAAACTCAGCTTTTCTTTGGCTTCCTGTGCCACGCAGCTTGCTCCCTTGTCTATGGCTTCCCTGTTGATTCTGGGACCGAGTTCCGCTCTGCTTTCTCAGTTGCTCGAACCAGCAGCATGGAAGGTAGCACTGAAATGGTGATCACCTTTGATAAGGTCTATGTGAATATTGGTAATGACTTTGACCCCAAAGCTGGGTTATTCCGATGCCGTATACCTGGAGCCTATTACTTCTCCTTCACAGTTGGGAAATACCCCAAGAAAAATTTGTCAGTCATGCTGATGAGAAACAAGAATGAGGTTCAAGCAATTGTGTACGATGAACATCACCGTAAAGAGAGAAAAGTGGCAAGCCAGAGCGCTATGTTGCAATTGGACTATGGCGACACAGTCTGGCTGCGTTTACATGGGGATCCCAAGTATGCTCTCTACAGTAATGTGGGCCCCTATACAACTTTCAATGGGTACCTTATCTATCCAGACACTTCGAGCTATTTTCAAAACACAGTGGTCTCACAGGAGATAGGAGAACCGTCAGGGCCTCCCCCTCGTGTCATTCAGCAGCTTTCCATGAACCAGAATGAAATCTCAGAGAAGCACCTGCTTTCTGACCAACCCAGTAGATCACAGGATCCTCGCTCAGCATTTTCTGCTGCCCGTTCTGAAAGCCTCCTGGGGTCAGATGAGAAGCAAACCCAGCATGAACCGATCACATTTGACACAGAGTTTGTGAACATTGGGAAAGATTTCAACTTCTCAAGTGGCATCTTCACATGTCGTATTCCAGGCGCCTACTATTTTTCCTTCACTATTGGCAAGATGCCCTTTAAGACCATGTCAGTGAAACTGATGAAGAACCACAATGAAGTTCAAGCAATGATCTATGATGACAATCACTCCAAACGACGGGAAATGCAAAGTCAAAGCATTATGCTCCCCCTGCAATATGGAGATACTGTCTGGCTCTACAGTCACCAGCATGATGGCTATGGTGCCTATAGCAACCATGGAAAATACATCACCTTCACTGGGTTCCTTATCTATCCTGAGACTAAGCCAAAACCACCACCTGATGTCATCCTGTCTCCAGGATCAAGGCTCTAAATGTCAACACAGAAAGAGCACAAAAGAAGTTGAGATGCAGCAGACTCTGGTGCAAATCCTGGACGGATGCCACCCTTTACATGACAGTGTCAAGAGCATGCTATTGTATGTCCAGTGCATTCCTTATGCTGCACGTTTGTGTCCTGCTTGCAGAGCCATCGTCGTTTCTCCCATTCATCCATAGAATGACCTTTGCGGGATAATGTGTGTTTTGTTCATTATTGCTGTTTGATTAGAGCATTAAGCATGAGATAGTTTGGGGAGTAGAAGGCATAGGGGCAGAAAAAGATGTGGATTAGAAAGTGTTATAGAAATGCTGGGAGAGTGGATTGTCTCTTTATCTCTCTCGCTTTCTCCCTGCAAGTCACTCAGAAATTGATCGCAGCTTCTGCAAACCAGACATATTGATAAGGGGACAAATGTGATTGAACGATGAACTCAATAAAGCTTGAGACAAAAAATAGTAGGTTGGCTGGTATGTTTCATGCAATGGTTTGTTTATTTTGAAATCTCCTAGTAAAAGGTAACATGCTTTCCTTTAGAGATGTTAATGTTGTGGCTGAATTATTGTCTGCATTTTTACAAATATCGCCTAATTTAAATAAATGTGCACATCGCCAAACTAATATACAGTGAAGAAAGTACAAGTCAATAGAGGGGACTATTGTATACTATTCACTGTCTAAAAAAATTAACAATACTGTCTAATGTATCCCGTTATTTACGTCAGTAAAACACCAGAACTCAAAGAGTAACAAAAACTAGCATGCATATTTAGAACAGGGATAGTAATTTTGTGGCTGTTCAGATGCTAGTGCTGCTGCAGTTCTCAGCAACACTAGCTAGTATAGCCAACAGTTAGGAATTCTGGAAATTAGCAATCTACCAACATTTGGTGGGTCCCATGATATTTTCTCTTGCCTTACATGTCCAGCAATTGAAATTCCCCCTACACTGATTCATCATAATAGTTTACTAGATTGATCTGTGATTAAACCATATAGTCTCTGTGTATCTGCATGTATTTACATTCTGTGTTGCAATCAAAGAGGAGAAACACTAATTTCTCTTTCCCTCCAGCTACAATTGCAGCTAAGATGGGTGTTTCTTCGTTATCTAAAATACCTTTCCTTTCTCCCTCTGTCAGGTAACAGCAGTAGCAGGCTTGACCCCTCTCTCAGCTGCCAGGGGGGAAGTTTTGAATGCTGTGCAAAAGGCTAGTGAATAGCTGCATCCAAACTAAGACATATGTGGCCAAGTTAAGCAGACATATGTGACCAACAAAATTCCAGCCACTGTGTATATGGGTGGTAGTATCAATCAGGGAGGTTATTTGCCTCCAAAGCTAATGATTAGAAGCGATTTAACTTGGATTTCAAGCTGCATCTACTACTGAAGTCAGCTGTCCCACCATGGAGAACTCCTACATGCTTCCCTTGAGTATTATTTTAACAATGGTAACAAATGAAATGGACTCACTTATCTTGAGTTCTCCTATAGTTCGAGTGTTTAAATCAGGCATGGGCAAATTTTCTAACTTGAGGCCCACATGGCAGGCTGGAGCAGGGTGGACCGGCCAGGAGGGAGGGAGTTCTCCCCAAGTCCCCTCTATGCCCTTTCCTCCCCTTACTCTTCTCTTTCGGAGGCCTATGCCACTCTCCAGGAAGTTCTTCCTAATCTTTTCAGTCAAATTTCTTTCTCTGCCATTTGCAACCATTGCTCTCTGGTGCCCTGGTTTCTAGAGCAGCAGAAAGTCAGTTTTTCCTCTCCTCCTCAATGAGACACCTTTTACATCTTGAAACATGGTTCTCATGTTCCCTCTCTACCTTCTCTTCTCCCAGCTAAACATCCCCCAGGAGGAAAAGAGGAAGAAAAAAGAGAAGGAAGGATGGAAGGGGGAGGGAAGGGGAGAAGAGAAGGATGGAAGGAAGGAGGGGTGGAAGGGAATGGAGGGAGGGAAGGGAAGGGAAGAAAGACAAAGGGGAGGGAAGGAAGGACAAAAGGGTGGAGAAGAAGAGGGGAAGGGGGAAGGAAGGGGGAAGGAAGGAAGGAGGGAAGGAAAGAGAGAAGGAAGGAAAACAGAATGGTTAGTGAAAGAAGGACCTGAGAAAAGAGCCCAAGGGGCCACATACAGCCCCCCAGGCCTGGGTTTATCCATACCTGGTTTAGATGTTATACCGATTGGCATGTTTTCTACTAACCAATAAAATTTTGCACTTTCTTGATTGCAATAGGAATATTCTGGAACAAGCACTCGATAATATCCTGTTTCACATACAACCAACAAGGAGTGGTTTAAGTTCAAAAAGCAAAACACAGATAAAAATGTTTCTTAGTTAAGACTACTCAGTCACACATTCATATTTCATGTTTGTAAATCTTTAATAGCTTTCTGATTAGCGGGTTTCTGGTTAAATATAAGCAATTTCCTGCCTAGTAATAAATGTGTTTGTTTATAGACTGTATCAATGAATCCCATGCAGACATAATACATTCAGAAATCAGCTGAATTTGATATGACATGCAGTAAAGATATCCATGGTTCACTTATCACACAAAGCAACTCCTCCTGAAGATGCAGCTCAGCAAGTTGGCATGTTTATGGGATCTTCAATGATTAAGAATGTAGGTAGCAGAACAGAAATTCTTACCATTTTTTCAAATGTTTCGGGTGTTAAATAAAATAGGGCCCATTTTATCAAAAACAATGGAGGTCTAGAAGCAACTATGAGAAGAAAGTATACAATGGGAGGTGTTCCATATGAATCATTTTATATAGCCCCCTCTAGAATGACAATCAATCTTAGGTCCTCCAGATGCTTTGGATTTAGCTTCCAGGGTCTCTAAACCCTATCCACACTGACCGGGGACTTGGGAGTGAAACTTATCTGGAAGATCAAAGATTGAGAACCACTGCTATATAGACCTCAGAGACAGGAGTCTCAGACCATGAGTGATTTAGTCATATAAATTTTTTAAAATAGCCCAGAGGTCACTACCATACAACAGGGAGATAAAATCAGGAAGGGTCTTGGGTAATGATCTAGGGATTCATGAACCTAAAAATTATTCTTGCCTATTACTTTGCATAAACAAAAGCGAGAGCTGCAAGACCCAATCACCCTTTAAACATGAGAATTTCCTTGGTTTCTATGGGCCATGGCTAGACTAGACCAATATAAGTTTTTCAGTGCACTAATATAGACAGGCATTTCTTGCCAAGGCCTGGAGGCCAGAAGCTCAACAGAATCCACAGACTCCTTAGGACAGAATTGTTTGCAGAGCTCACGGATGATTTCAGTGACCAACTGGGAAAAAAGATTGATCCAAAGGTTTTTCTCCAGGCCTTGGATGGAGCGAACCTGGTAAGCACAGTAGACCATGGTGAAGATGAGCTGCTCAAATTCTTCTGGGGTTATAGGGGTGTCTGTCTGAGAGAGATAGTCCAGGTGCTCCTCAATCCCAGCTGGGTTTTTGGGAATCTCATGCTGAAGTATCTGAAGAAACCGTTTTGCAGGGCGCAGAGAGGCCAGCTCCTCATCCTCAATCTTGATTGTTTCATTGGCCATAATTTCAATCCCTCCCCAAAGTAACTGAAAAAAAGAATGAACAGAAATGCACAAGTAAATGAGATATTTTCTCTATATTCATGCCTGGAGGAGGCCTCACATCTGGAGAACAGGAATTACATTTTTGCTCAGAGAACATTTGTAACCAGGAGAGGGAATGGCATGTGATCTGAATCACATGCTGAACGAGAGGGGTTGAGTTAAATTATTTCCTCAATGAGTAAAAACTTGCTTGCATACTTAAGTACTCCTATGGGAAGCACCAGTCCATCAATAATGGGGTTATGGAGGTTATAATGAACAGGTTGTGTAATAAATGAAGAATTTTCTCTAGGTTTTCTAGTCTATAAAAGCAAATATAGACTAAACTATCATTAGATCTGTTCCAAGCCTGTGATTCTATACTCCATCTTCTTACTCTGCTCCTCAGCTTTTCTTACCAGGGATTTTGTAGACAGCATCCGTCTGTACGCTTATTGCACACATTGGATGTACATGCATACTCTAAGTTTATCAACATCAGCCTTTGCTGAATGGAGTTCTGCTCTGCAGATGGAAAACTTGCCAAGAGAGAGTGTTGTTCACAAAGAGGCAGAAATTGTGTGTCTGTGGAAATATATAACACCACATATGTTCCAATCATAGATTGGCTCCCTCCATTCTCATTTTTAGTTCTTCAAACATTGGCAAGTTGGGGTGCTAAGATACAGGTTAAAGGAAATCAATTTGTGTTGAGTGGAAATTTGTGCCTCCATGCAACACTCATCTCTAACTGGTGGGTTGAAAATAGGTTATATGCCACCAGTTGGGGGGGAAAATAGAGATTAGGGCCTTGTGTGCATATGTGGTGAAAAGATATGAGAAAAATTTAGAGAGAGAAAAACATAAATAAATAAATCAAGAGTGAGTTCCAATTAAAAAAAATTGGGGGCTACTGTCTAAGGAAATAGTGCTGCCAAACAAAATGGTCTTTTGTAAATGTCAGTTTTCCAGTAAAAACTCTGCCCTCTTTCATGCGACCCCATGATTAATAGTTCAGATTCTATTCTTTTCTAAAGCAATGTCAGCTATATTTCAGTCTAATGTTCAGATGCAGCCCACGGATGCCATCTGGTGGGCCTTGGTTTAGAAAAGCAAAATGCAGTTTGTTTCTTGAGAATTCCAGCAATTTCCTTCTGAAGCATCAGCACCTGGTTTGAAGTACAAGTGAAGCTGACATCCTTGGCTAATATAGAACATCTGTTAAAACAGGTGCAACAAAATGATATGGGGGGGGGGGGGCTGAAGAGCTATTAAAACAACATAGTGCTTTGGCAGGACCTCACAGATCAGTATGTCCTGCAGTACAGAATGTCTTAAGCTCTCCGATGTGGTGGACAGACAGTTTTCCCAGAGACACATATTGTATTGTTTCCATGGCCTACAACTGATTATTTCATGGAAACCCATCGTTAACAAGTAATCAATAGTTTATATATCGGTATCACCAGGCCCGTAGCCAGGATTTCGTTTTGGGGGGGGGGCTAAAAAAATTTCAGGGGGGGTTTCGGGGGGGGCTGAGTCTGAGTGAAAGAGGGTCTAGCCTAGCAAACCTTTTGTATCATTACCCCAATAGCCCCATGCATATGGGATATATTGAGTATGGTGATCAGATCATGATATGAATAAACATAACAGTTTAAATAATGCACCAGTAAGGCCTTTTCACGAACCACCATCAGAACCACCATCAGAAGCCCCTCAAGCCTCCCCCCCCCCCGGCTACATGCCTGGGTATCACAATCCATAAACCACTACTTTGAGTAACATTGAAATAGAATATCCATCATCTTTCTGTCCCCCACTAGAAGCACCAATGGCAGCTTGTATGCTGGAGAACATCCAAAGTGCCAAACTTACTTTGGAAAAGTTTCAGTACCTTGGATAGCTGCCTTGAAGTATAGACTTAAAAATGGAGCAAATTCACTACTATAGTGACATGGAAGCTACTATTGGGTGACACTAGTCAGGTCCTGTAGGAACCTTTTATTGCTGCTTTTCCTGCATTAAAGGTGATCATCTTCACATCTGGTATAGGTGCATTTCAGTATATACCAGTGGTTACCAACCTTTTTTTCAACCTGGGACCACTTGAATAGAGACCACTTTGACTAGGGACTACTCTCCAACATTAGTACCAAAAGGGTTACGAATCAGTTTTTGGTCAATTTTAGATTCGGTTTGGTTATTTGGAGTGCTGATTCAGAAAACTGCATTGGATAGACCACATCAGCTCAAGTTTCTGATACAGAACATATGCCATCCAGTAGTTGCCATCTGCTCCCCCACAGAAAACCATATTTAATAATCTAGACCTGATGTGGTAGTAGGAAACCTTTGTGGATAGTCAGTCTCTCCCCTCCGACATCCTAGTTGCCTCAGCACTATAAGAGGGTTTCACGAGACCAGTCATTCTCGCTGTCACGTGGTTTTGAAGCAATAGTTTAGTAATGGTGAGGCCGCAGATCATATTTTTTATTCTTGAAGACCACTGGTGGTCCAAGGACCACAGGTTGGGAACCACCGGTATATACAGATGGGATTGCACAGTAACAGAGGTATGAAACTATTCTACATCAAGTGCTTACACCAGGATAGATGCTGGGGGCAGAGATCCCATTCAGAAGAAGACTCCCCCCTCAAAACGAGCAAGCTTATTCAACATAAAATGAGTGGAGCAGTATATGTTGCCATCTATAGAGCCCCTCTCTAATGATACTGTTAAGTCCACAATCTCCTTCCTGTCCTAACAAATTGTTTGTCTGGAGCAGTTGCACACCCAAGTAGCTGGAATTGCAGTGGCACTGCATTGTAAATTGAAGAGGTGGAATATCAGTAAGTGATTCTATAAATGGCAGATCCATGCTCATGGGTACTCTTGGACTCCCTTGGTATTGTTTTGACTTAGTTACCTCTAATATGACATCTGTATTCTCTCCACTGATTGCGTCTGCAGTATCCCTGACATGAAATTGTTCATCTGTAATACAAAAATAAGGGCAATTAAAAATATTACTAACCTTTAACAATAGGTTGAGTATCTGTTTTCCAGGAATCAAAAAAGCTCCAAAATCTAAAATTCTTTGCATGGGTGCCTGAGATGGTGAAACCTTTGCTTTCTGATAATTCAATGTATACATGCAGAAAATCATTTTAAACACTGTGTATGAATTCAGGCAATGTGTAGATGAAACATAAATGAATATCATGTTTAGACTTGGGTCCCATCTCCAAGAAAACTCGTGATGTATAAGCAAATATTCCAAAAAACCCTCCAAAATAGTCCAAAACACATCTGGTTCCAAATGTTTTGGATAAAAAGATATTCAGTGTAGTATTACTCAACCTATCTCTTTTGTATACACAGCTTTATCTGATTTCCTCTGGTTTGACAATTATTATTTGATATATTAACCTGAGTTTAAATAATATATTATTATATTGATAATATAGCATTTGTTATAATGTAATTTTAATGTAATTAACAACACTACAACAAAATTAACAAATTTGCCCCACCAAGACCATAGAATAGGCATGGGCAAACTTTGTCCCTCCAGGTGTTTTGGACTACAACACCCACAATTCCTAACAGCCAATAGGCTGTTAGGAATTGTGAGAGTTGAAATCCAAAATACTTGGAGGGATGAAGTTTGCCTATGCCTGTCATAGACTCATTGACTCAATCATATCCCTTTTGCTTCTTAAGTTTCCTCTGAGATGTCATCACTGTTTATATTCCGGCTGTTTCAGCTTTGTAAGTGATAGGTACAATCTGACAGAGGCAAGAACACACCATGGATGGCTTCATAGAAGATATGAAGGGTTTCATAGAAGTTGGAAGTTTCTTTTCACTACCAGTTTCACTTCCCAGTTTAATGTTAGTGGCATCACCAGCCATAGACCCATTTCAGGTGCTACACTTTACACTCAACTTGATTTATAATCCTAATCAGATCACAAAGTTAATATGCGTAGATACAGATAGTAGGCTTATCACAATTATTTCAGATGCTATTTGGAAATGTTTTGCCTACAATAACGTCATTTGTTGTAAAAAAGACCATCTTTTTAAGCCCTATGAGGAGCGGCTTAAAGAGCTGGGCATGTTTAGCTTGAAGTAGAGAAGGCTGAGAGGGGACATGATGGCCATGTATAAATATGTGAGAGGAAGTCATAGGAAGGAGGGAGCAAGCTTGTTTTCTGCTGCCCCAGAGGTGAAGATGAGGAACAATGACTTAAAACTACAGGAAAGGAAATTCCATCTGAACATTAGGAAGAATTTCCTGACTGTGAGAGCTGTTCAGCAGTGGAACTCTCTGCCCTGGTGTGTGGTGGAGGCTCCTTCTTTGGAAGCTTTTGAACAGAGGCTGGATAGCCATCTGTCAGGGGTGCTTTGAGTGCAATTTTCATGCTTCTTGGCAGGGAGTTGGACTGGATGGCCCATGAGGTCTCTTCCAACTCTATGATTCTATGATTTTATCAGTTTTGAGATCAAAGCATTTCTGAGTTTCATGCTTTTGTAGGCAATGCTATCATTGGGTATTGAATGCAATTATATTACCAAATTACCCAGTCATTGTATCAGTTGTGTAGCTACAGATGGGGCAAAATAAAGGCATTGCCTTCCCCCGCCCCAAAAGAATCACCAGTGCAATGAAATTTTCCTTCAATTCCAGTTCAGCAGTAACTTGAAACTACAGTTTGGGCAACTGAAGAAACAGAACAAACAGTTAGGGGAATGTGAATGCAGCAAAATTAAGAATTCCAGATATAAATGATTTTCAGTGTCTTTCTGAGATCTTAGAAATGTGTAGACTGAAGGAAAAGTTCATTTTGGAGGACAAAATTGGGGGGAAGGGTGCCCTCACACATACCCCATGGCTACATCCCTGCAATGTAGGGATTGTGGCGCAGCTGGCTGTCAGCTGCATTAAGATCACTCTGACCAAAAGGTCATGAGTTCGAAGCCAGCCCGGGCTGGAGTGGGTGTCCAGCCATTGTGTAGCCCGTTGTCGACCTTTGCAACCCGAAAGACAGTTGCATCTGTCAAGTAGGAAAATAAGGCACCACCTTGTGTGGGAGGCTAAATTTAACTAATTTATGAGGCCATAAAGAAGACTCCGGGGAATGTGGAATGCGGAAGAACTTCATCGGTGTCGTTGATGGACGATGAAAAGCAGCAGCTCCCCTGGCGGCCAGAAAAAAAAGTTAAATAGCCTTTGTCTGTTAAATGTTGTTTGTCAAACTGGCATTGAATGTTTGCCATATATGTGTTTACTGTAATCCGCCCTGAGTCCCCTGCGGGGTGAGAAGGGCGGAATATAAGAACTGTAAATAAATAAATAAATAAATAAATAAATAAATAAATAAATAAATGTGATTTATGAAAATGGTTGTTTTGTTGATTCTGTGCTTAATGTTCTATCTCTGATTTTGTACTTTATAGCGCACAAGCATCATTTGTATGACTATAAAAGGATAAACTTAGCTGCTGATGATATGAAATTGTGATTGTTTTAAGTGAACTTCTTTCCGCTTCCAATATACAATTTCCTTTACATTGCTGGGACTTGTGGGAGACAATATCAAGTGATGATCCATAAAGCAGGCATGAGGAAGAATATACAAGAATTCCAATATGACTAGAATACAACCTCCATCATCCCTCATCAATGGCAATTCTGGCTAGGATTGATGAAAGTTGTCGTCCTACTCATTTGGAGAACCATAACCACAGTCTCTTCTATATGAGAAGCCAAAATCTTTGTACCAATTATTTTAGAGCACCGCATGCAGACACAGGTTACTGGATACACCAAAGACATGTAGATACTGTTAGGGAAAGCTACCCTAATTTATAGCAGAGAACCCAAAAATATAAACAGGATATAAAAACTGAGCATCAGCTCATTTGCGAGCAGAGCATGATGTGGCTGTAAAGAATGAAGAGCTTAGGAGGCAAACATGCAGAGTCCAATCTTTAAAAATCACAAAAAGTTTATTTACAATAATAAGAAATAACTGCATTTCTTAATAACCAAGAACTGGGTCTGAGCTACTCTAACATCCATCTCTTACAAGGTTTCAAAGAGTGGGGGGAAACATCAATCACTACATCTCTCTGACACACATGCAGAGAGAGATCTCAAAGGACACAGCACATACTCAGATGTAAGAAACAGAAGTCAAAATAAAGGCTTACGGTAGAAAAATATCTATTTTGAACAACCAATCAGAATGAGAGCAGAAACAGAGAGGGACGAAGAAATTAGATACATTACAACTGTCATACAGAAGATATGGACAAAGGGAATTCCTTCAGCCTATACTAAACTAACTGCTTCTCGTTGAGGACTTGAGACTTGGGCAGTGTAGGGTTGAATTCCAACAGATACAAGCAATGGAGGGTTTTTAACCAGTGATAAAGGAAAAGAGCATGTGGGAAGACCTGATCCTCATATTCAGTAAAGAGAGCAAAACAAAATTTTGCATTACTTAATTCACCAATGCAAAACAAGAAAACCAGAGAAGCGGGTTGGAAAATAATACTTTCTAAAATTCGCTTTTAGGACTATTAATTTAATCTAAGAAGGTGGAAGTAATGGTCAGTAAGTAACTGCTGTTGTTGTCAACAGCTTTCCATATTTCATTCTGGAGTAATTCTCCCCAAGGAAGATGAGAAAAGCACATAGAAGATCCCTTGGAGAGGATGAACCATGCACTTTAAGGAAAAACATGCCTCCACCCAGGTTGCAGGCTCTTTGATCACAGCCAGCTGTTTGGGATTTGGGATTCAGTATGATGTGAAGCTTCATTTCTTTTTTCTCAATACATAATCCAGGCAGACTTTAAGGACAAAAAAAATAGATGATTGTTTTTTCTAATAAAAAAAATGGAAATAACTACTTGGGATGTTAATAATTGCTACCCTGTTAACCTCATCCATGTTCCAGCTAGCATATTTTTATTTTGCAATTGCTACGAATTGAAACCAACCAACCAGCTATATTCTGAAATTATTATGTCCCAACATATTCAGTCACTGGAACAAGAGCAGTGGTGTAGAGTTCGTTAGAACAGGAAAGCTTGGAAAAGTTAGTTTGGGATTGCAGCTTCCAAAATCACGGTCTGTAACTGTGGGTGCATCTACACCAGGCATGTGCAAACTTTGGCCCTCCGGGTGTTTTGGACTTCAACTCCCACAATTCCTAGCCGCTTCAGGCCCTTTCCTTTTCCCCCTCAGCCACTTAAGCAAAGGAAGGAAAGAAAAGGAAGGGGCCTGAGGCTGTTAGGAATTGTGGGAGTTGAAGTCTAAAACACCTGGAGTACAAAAGTTTGCCATGCCTGATGAACACTGTAGAATAAATGCAATTTGACAGCACTTTAACTGCCACAGAATCCCAGGATCTACAGTTTAGTAGGTACCAGCCCTTTTTGGCAGAGATGGTGAAAGAACTTGTAAAACTACAACTCCCATGGTTCCACAGCCCTGAGCAATGACATTGAAAGAGGTGTCAAATTGCATTCATTCTATACTGTACATCAGTGGTTCTCAACCTGTGGGTCCCCAGGGGTTTTGGCCTACAACTCCCAGGAATCCCAACCAGTTTACCAGCTGTTAGAATTTCTGGGTGTTGAAGGCCAAACATCTGGGGACTCACAGGTTGAAAACCACTGGTGTAGATGGACCCCATGCTGATGGAAACTCTGGCACTTGTAGTCCTCTAACTTCTCTAAATGCTGAGATGTAATACAAGGAAAGAACAGCCCATTTGCAGAAATATAAATAGCTTTCTCGCTAACCATCTGCTTCTGCCAGATTTCTCAAATCTACCAGCTCTTTGCCAAAATTGCTGGAAAATTCCCAGATGATGTTAACATGTTCTGAATTCTAGGTGAGAGGAAAAGATAGTGCGAGTGGGTTCCATGAAAAGAGAAGTTTATTATAAGTGTTAAAGAGGAGGGCAATGCCAACACTTGAGGGGTTTTCTTTCCTGAAAAGCACTAAAAGCTATGCATACAAATGTTTTCTTAAAAGGCTGCGGGAAATTAGAAGGTTGTTTTTTATGACTTGCTCAAAAGCTCTAGGCCTTTTCCAGATGAATAAGTGTCAGAAAAGCTAATGCTACACATTTCCTCCTCCTCCAATTAGCTCTCCAAGTTGGCAAAGGCTTCCTGCTGAATTTGTCAAACAAATGACAAGTAGGGAAGCTCTCTCATGAAAAGGGGGCACTTAGATGTCACAGTCACGTGCAAACATTGTGCTCTCATTTGCTTCCATTAAGGCTTCTGAAGTCCACTTGGCACAAGTGGACTGTGCTATAAATGGGGAGTGGGGGGGGGGGRGAGAGGACACAGATTGGGAAAATATAGTACTTATACTAGTTGTGGGATTTGGGAGTTGTAGGCAAGCAGTGTAATTTCCACAAGCTTTGATGCTCTTGTAGTTGCAGAAATGCCATGCATTTGCCAAATGTAATACAAACAATCCTTTCTTGTCCTAAACATAGTAGTTTAAGTCCTGAAATAAAACATTTTATTTGTGCAAACTACTACAGATTCTGCATCCGCAGATTTCAACATCCATGGCTTAAAGATATATATATTTAAAAACTCCCCAAAAGCAAAGCTTGAATTTCCCATTTTATATGAGGGAAATTTATATGCTGACTGAAAGGTTGTAGGTTTGAATCTGGAGACCGGTGTGAGCTCCTACTGTTAGCCCCAGCTTCTGTCACCTTAGCAGTTTGAAAACATGCAAATGGGAATAGATGAATAGTTACTGCTTTGGCGGGAAGGTAACGGCACTCCATGCAGTCATGCTGGCCACATGACCTTGGAGGTGTCTATGGACAATGCTAGCTCTTCAGCTTAGAAATGGAGATGAGCACCAACCCCCAGAGTCGGACACGACTGGACTTAATGTCAGGAGAAAACCTTTACCTTTACCTATGAGGGACATCATTTTACCATGGAGCCCCCAGTGGTGCAATGAGTTAAGCCCTTGTGTCGGCAGGACTGCTGACCAACAGGTCAGCAGTTCGAATCAGGGAGAGTGGGTTGAGCTCTCTCTGTCAGCTCCAGCTTCCCACCCGGGGACATGAGAGAAGCCCGGTAAAACATCAAACATGGTAAAACATCAAACATCCAGGCATCCCCCAGGCAACATCCAATTCTCTCACACCAGAAGCAACTTGCAGTTTCTCAAGTCACTCCTGACACGATTTTTTTTTTAACCACACCATGGTATATAATGGGATTTGAGTGTTCATGATTTTGGTATCCATGAGGGTCCTGGAATCAAACCCAGCAGATACCAAGGGCTGACTGTATTATGCAAATAACCATAGCCACCCTTAATATTACTAAACGATTAGACATTGCATAACAATCTTCTCCAATACCGACAGTTCCTACCTGTCTGTCTCCGGGATCCAACAAATACACAGAGAGCCACGGTTGCCCAGAGACAAGTTCCAAAGTGCAGCTGGAAAATCCAGGCCATACTGAAAGCACTCCTGTTTCTTCTTTCTTCAGAGAAATGCTTTCGGGGAAACTAATGCTGTTTGAAGCAGCTTCTCTTCCCTCTCCTTTCATTCCCAGAAGCCACAGCTGGAACTGTTTCCTTCCTCCCAGGTCCAAACTGGGAAGGGCTTGTATTTGAATTCCTGGTTCCCTTTACTGTGCATAAAAATAAAAACCAACGAATTCAACTCAGATTCTCAACGAATTCTGCCAACATTGAGTCCCGTTTATTTCCACTTGTAGCATCTGGCTGTTACATATTTTGGTCTTGGCACATCATTTTAAGCCTCCATGATTTATTTCCCACATAGAAGTTTGCTAGTCTTATTGCTCTTAAAAACAAAGGTCATGTTTTCAATAGTCAAAGGTCTGTGCTGAAAATTCAGGATGTGCCTAAGTATAATCTAGTTTTCCTTCAAAGGTCTATTGATACCACCTGACAATGAGAGTGAACAGAGGGCAACATGCATTGATTTGCCTGCAGCATTCTTCTTTTTTCATTTTGCATTTCCTTTCCAATACTGAAATGCAAGAGCAATCCTTACATGCCAGAGCAGGGTGGAGCAGGCAACTCTAAGCAGACTTCATAGCATCCAATATTAATCAGAGCAAAGAAGGGGCCCATTCCAATAATATTGGAGGGGTGGTTAGTAAAGTTCAATGACCCAACACATATGCCCCCCCCCCCATATTAGTCAGCCACATCCACATTGGACAGCTGCCTTTCATAAGTTCAAAATGCCTGTTGAAAATCTATTATGAACAGAGTCAGCAACCAGATATTCAGAAGAATTTTCAACTGCATTTCTCTCCCACTCACACACACACATACACACCAACAACTTATTAAGATCAGATTGGAATTAAAGTGACAATACCATGTTCATATGCCTTGGCTGGAGAATACAGCACAGGAAATCTTTGAACTATCTGGACTCCTTTCACACTACACAATTATAAGAGCTTGCTCTTTCTTTAACTTCCATAACATGTTTGGTTTTTGTTTATTTCATGTCAGGAGCGACTTGAGAAACTGCAAGTTGCTTCTGGTGTGAGAGAATGACATGTTTAAATTGGACAACAAGTTAAACATGAGCCAACAATGTCAGTGCTGCAATTCAAAGCAGATGCAGGCATACACACAACCATGTGGTACAATACATTACATATCATACTTTGCTCCAAATCTTAAGCCTAAAAACATAACTTATATTCCAACAATATCTGCAAGGCCACGCATTACGAAACTCAGGTATTGAGACATGTTGGAAAATCCTCTAAGCCAGGGGTCTTCAAACTAAGGCCTGAGGGCCAAATACGGCCCTCCAAGATCATTTACCTGGCCGTCGTTCAGGGTCAACCTAAGTCTGAAACAACTTGAAAGCACACATCAACAATAATCCTATCTCGTCAGCCAAAGGCAGGCCCAAACTTTCCATTGAAATACTAAAAAGTTTATATTTGTTAAAATTGTTCTTCATTTTAATTATTGTATTGTTTTAAAGTGTTTTTTGCACTACAAATAAACTATGTGCAGTGTCCATAGGAATTCATTCATTTTTTTTTCAAATTATAATCCGGCCCTCCAACAGTTTGAGGGACTGTGACCTGGCCCTCTGTTTAAAAAGTTTGAGGACCCCTGGTCTAAGCAATACAGGAATGTTGTAATGCTAAGAAAGCCTTGGGCTCAAGGCTGATCCTGCGTCTGAGCATAACTCTTCCTGTGCAGTTCCACATCCATCCTTCTCTCATCTCAGCTGTCAAGCCCCAGGATAGGCTGTTGCTGCTGGCCAGCAAGGAGGCAAGACAGACCATAAAGAAGCAACTGGATTCCATTTTTTGGTTGTGGGGAGAAAAAAAGAACGTACTCCTGCAGATAGCATGCTCTCTCGCTTTCTTTCCCCCAGGAATGAGAGCAATCATATATTCGTGGTCTGAATGGCATCCCCTTTCTCACCAGTAAGAGATAGTAGCAGCCATTCCTGGGCTTTGGAATGGAGTACAAGAGCAAGAGAATAAATAGCCCCTTGTTCAAATAGGGACTTGTATGTGTCTGTCACCAATAAGATGTCAGCCATAATTTATCAGTTAAGCCCAGTCTAGTAATTCCTGATAACGGAGAAGTAGCTAGGTACTCCACTATAGGGCAAAAGTGAATGTCATGTTTTCAAGAAAGGTAATTACCCTACCCGCCATTGTCACCACTTAAAAACAAGAAGCCGAATCGGCTTCCAAAACAAAATATCAACATTAATTATTAAAGTAAAATGCCCCCATTTGAAGTTGTTTGGACAAGTTCACCCACTGGGTTCCTTTTGTATTCTGTGGCAGATTAGCTCCACATCTGTGCAATTGAAGCTAATGACAGCTCTGCATTCAGCTTTGGTGTGATTTTTGTTATTACTCATAAATCCCACAAGCTGCTGCAGCCTCCAAACAATGCTCATTAAATGCAGGAAAAAACCTTTCAAGCATCTGGTTTCCAGATACCGTTCTGAGGTTAAACTCTGGAGTCAGAAAGACCTTCTATACAGTATCCAATATCACATGAACCCATTGCTTGCAGCATTCTTTAGCTACTGATTCCATCTCCCCTAATTTTTCATCATAGCCTATATTTAATATTACTGTGTCTTTACAAGGACCTTCAGCTTCACTTCTGCCATTTCCAGCTCATTCTGGATGCCCATTAGAGGTCAATGAAGAACTTGAAAGTATATACCACAACTCACATTGCTCCACATTTAAGCAGAAGCCTTCTTTATGTCTCCGCTCTAACTGTATGAAAGAAAGGCACATGTTTGAAATCACATTTATTGATGCATATAGTTTGCATCTATTGGTGGATTGAGGTTGTGTTATCAATGGTGTATATCTAGGACTTCAACTCACAGAAGTCCCAATTAGCATGGCCTCTGGGTCAGGGATTCTGGGACCCTATCCTGATTTTTGCCAAATGTATGTCTACAATACCCTACATCTGCACACTGTGATACATAAAAGTCTTTAAGGATGATTGCAGCCATGGTGGGAAATCTGTCTAAAATATAGGTTGTTTTCCTGTTTTGTTTTAAATGATATAGAACCAGCACTTTCCTCCTGCAAAGAGTTTGTCTAGGATACAGCCCTTTACTAAGAGGGTAATGCAGCAAGCCTGAGCCAATGGTACCTGAGCCAATTTTGGGTTACTGAGGATCTATGCTGGCGAGTCACAAAACATGTTAGACCTCCTTCCCATGCTCTTTCATTAGCTTGAAGCTTTTTTGATGGCTGAAGAGAAGTTGAATTGATAGAATAACAGAGCTGCAAGGGACCAGAAGAGGTATATCCAGTCCAATTCAAGAATACAAAATCAAAATATTCCTGAGTGCAGCCTTTGCTTTAAAAAAAAAAACCTCCAGAGGAGGCTCCACCACACTCTTAGGCATCATATTCCACTCTTACAATTCATTTTCATTCACTCATCTCCCCACTTCATCCCTTGTATACTCCCATTGCCCTGAAAAGACAGTGTCTTCCACATGCAAATGATATATGACTTCAGCAAGAAAAATTAGTTAATTTATGACTTCACTGGGAAATATAATTATTTCACGTTATGTTCTCTTGACAACTACATTGCAAGGTGCAATTCCCTCACATATAAGACAGACAAGAAGTCATGTGTAGTTTTTTTTGTTTTTCTTTATTATATATAAATATTGAAGTTAAACAAGAAGGGCATAGTCTCTCCTTCTTGCGATAACTATTTTACATCTTCTTTTTTCTCTCCTGGTTCTATCTTCAAGGTTTCTGGAGCTTCACGGTAGGCAGGGAAAGTCTCCCAGGGACTGTTCAGGTCGAATTTGCGGAACTCCTGAGCCAGCTCCACAGGTTCAGCCACGACACGTTTCACCTCATCATCATATCTAACCTGAAGGAGATCAAATAATATGAGGGTGAACATACCTGGAATTTCAAAAGCATTTATGTTCTCCTCATACATGGTCACTAGCTAGTATTATTCACTAGCAGCATTCCAAATTCATAATTTATTTTACTTATTTATTTATTTGGGGTTCTTTTACCCCGCCCTTCTCACCCCGAAGGGGACCCAGGGCGGCTTACACAGTAAGGCACGATTCGATGCCGGCAACACAACAATCATCACAACTTACAGTAAAATTCACAATTACTAACATCATCATGCATTATTCCAATAAAAAATCAATAAAAATCAATAAAATCAATACAAACCTAGATTCCTCCCTTGCATTGTCAGTGTTTGCTGTCTCATAGATCCGTTTTTTAGTACCATTTCGTCCATCCTGCTAGTCTTTAATTGCCTGGTTGCCCAAAGGCCTGGTCCCATAACCAAGTTTTCACCCTCCTCCTGAAGGAGAGGAGGGATGGTGATGCTCTGATTTCCCCGGGGAGTGAGTTCCACAGGTGAGGGGCCACCACTGAGAAAGCCCTGCTCCTCGTCCCCACCAGCCTCACTTGTGAGAGTGGTGGGGTCGAGAGCAGGGCCTCCCCAGATGATCTCAAGCTCCGAGGTGGGACGTAGCGGGAGATACGTTCGGACAGATACAGTGGACCGGAACCGTACAGGGTTTTATAGGTCAAGACCAGCACCTTGAATTGTGCTCGGAACTGAACCGGCAGCCAGTGGAGCTGGCATAGCAGGGGGGTGGTATGCTCCCTGTATGTCGCCCCGGTGAGCAATCTGGCTGCCGCTCGCTGGACTAGTTGAAGTTTCCGAACAGTCTTCAAGGGCAACCCCACGTAGAGAGTGCAGTAGTCTATTCGGGATGTAACAAGAGCGTGGACCACCGTGGCCAGATCAGACTTCCCAAGGTACGGGCGCAACTGGCAAAAGTAACAATCTTACTTTTGTTGATATGCAAGTTCAATTTTAATAGTTATCAATTTAAATCCCTTGCCGAACACCTCTGGACATCAAAACAAAAGGAAAAGGGGACAGCAGATAAGCCTGCTTCCCCAACTCCAACATCCCACTCCATCTACTTCAGTGGTTCTCAGAACCACTGATCTATATGTTAACAATAAAAATCGATCTATAGCTGTGGCTACCAACATTGAAATCAGAAAAAAGTATAGGCTGCTGGAAAAAAGTCATTTTGGATTAAACCCTCAAGTTTAAAAAATATTTTCATTTACTCATGCAGGGCTCACTAGATATGGTTGTTTCATTTCATATTCACATAGCTTTGAAACATGTTGAAATATCTTCTTTTGTGTTGTACAGTACGAACCCAATCCTATTCTTTCCATGTTATTTCTGTTTCCTGTACCAATTTTTTTGTTAAAGAAATACCCTGGAACACATCTAGTTCATTAATCTGTATGCAATTCTCTTCCAAATCAGCCAACAAGCTGTAGATACTGCTTTGGGGCATTCCTTTCCTGATTGTTTTCTTATAATATGTCTAAAAATGGAAAACTGGCCTTACTATGACATTTTATTCTGGCATACAAGAGGAAAGGTAAGCAAATCCACTGACTATTGGAATGGTGGAATAGTAACAAAGAAGCAATATGCTTTTCTAACAGCATTACTACATGCAGCCTACTTAGGAACTCCTTGGGACTCGCTTTCTATTCATTAGCTCCCTATTGACAATGATCTCCTGCTTACATGTTGTACTGTTACTCTAAGAGGCAGCTTTTCATATAGCTACAGTTATGTCCTGAAAAAAAAAGTCACCTCTTTCAGAAGGAAGATTCAACTTACTGACATAAGAGAAAACTTCAAATGGAGGTTGGATTAACCCTTCCTTGCCTGTTCCCTATCTACATACAAGAATGATATGTCACATTAATTATATTTTCCCACCCTATAGAACCTGAATGGACAAACATCGGCCCTCCAGGGAGTTAAAGCCCAAAACAGCTGGAGGGCCGAAGTTTGCCCATGCCTGCTATAAAAAAGCAGCCATTTTTGAATTTGCAAAAACGTATTTAAAATATACCCAAAGTTATGAAAAATAACTTTATCTATGTTGTGAAGCTTTTACCTCCACGTATCCAGACAGTGGGAAGTCCTTCCGGAAAGGATGCCCCTCAAACCCATAGTCTGTCAGGATTCGCCTCAGGTCAGGGTGGTTGGCAAAGAAAACTCCATACATGTCCCAAACCTAGAGGTGTAGAGATCAAGCAGTGATCAATTTTACAGTGCACTGGTTAGATTTCAATGGCTGTACAAACATGAAGAACAGACTATCCATTGCTAGAAGGGAAGCTGCTGACAGGTGGAAGAACCTGTGGCACTCACTTACAAAGCATCAACCACTTCTCTGAAGTATGTTTTTTCAGCACCAGCAGTGACATGCCCCTCTTCAAATAACTACCCAATTATAATCTTGTACCTTGATATCCTGACTTGCAGGATTAGAATAATGTCACAACATAGTTTAATGATTAAGGTACAGAATTTCTATCAACCAAAGGCCAAAATGCTTTGTAAGTCAAACATGAAGAATCCTACTAATAAAGAGCTAATTCATCTTATTTTCATCACTGAAAGGCTGTAAAAATGTACAACTTATATTTTAATAATAATAATACTAATAATAATAATAAAACTTTATTTGTACTCCACCACCATCTCCCCAAGGGACTCGGAGCGGCTTACATGAGGCCAAGCCCAACAATACATCAATAAAACAGAAAAGCAATAAACAAAACAATACAATGCAATTCAAATTAATATAAAACACATATAACAATAACACACGAGGATTTAAAAACCTATGGCCAGGCCAAATGTAATAATTAAAAATTTAAAAAATAAACGCTGGGCATGAACAAGGTAGGATATATCTGTTAGGAGGGTTTTAAAGAAGTGAGGAGTGCATCTCCAAATTATAGCTTGATATTTTTATATTACGGTTTTATACACTAAAAAGTTAATTTTATTGCACAAAAAGTGGTCCAGATGAAGCCAGAAGAGCATGGGAAAGAATAGCACTGAGATATCACTTTAAATTGTCATATCTGATTTTAATGCCTTCATATGGCAGTTATATTTAATTCTTCCAATAATACTGGATATTTTTCCTCCTTCTTACAAGAACTGAAATAAGTTAAGGCAGACATTTGGTATATCAAGTAAGTAGGAGAGAGAATAAATTATATTTATGATCGTATAATGTTTTTTAAAAATTCCAACGATTTTTGGATTCCAAACCAAATTAACATAGTTACTCCTGGTCTGGAGGATTCTATATTATCACCCCAGCAACACTAAACTTAACACATAACTTTAATGCAGCATGTGCTGGAAAAAAGACCTTTCTTTGGCAAACACAGCTTGGCTAGAGAAACAGAGGATTTAACTGAAAATGTGGCTCTACTGTATGTCAAATGGTTTTTGCTCAAAAAGTGAGAAAAATATTTTACTTTTAGCTTAAGGCAGCCTGTCCCTTCCTCTTTTATTTACTCCTCAAGTTTCTTGAGGCTGCAAGAGCCTTAATGCAAACAACGTTTACCCCGCAAAAGAATGAATCTATTAGAAGCTCAAACTTTTATCTCCTCCTAAAAATAAATAACAATAATAAAACTTTATTTCTATCCCGCCCTCTCTCTTGGGGGGACGGGACGGACTCAGGGCAGTTTACAACACAAAGCGGCAAACATTCAGTGCCGCAAAGTGCAGGAAAACAAACAATTGTAAACAGGTGAGAATATATTAAACAGCAATATCAAATAACAATAGAACTAGACAGTAAATTAAATAAACATAGCCAAAATACACAATTAGACAATACGCAATTAAAATGGGATTAAATAATTAAAACCATTAATAGTTTAAAATTTAAAAAATCAGTATAACAAATCGTTTCCTAAAGAACAACCATGTTTGTAAATGTATTTCAGACATACATGTAAGCATTCAATAAAGCTGGTCCACATTTTAAGACTACTACATGGATCTCTAGTACACACCTGGTAAAAAGAACTTTTGCAAGTCTTAAAATAAAATTGTAAATGAATGAACATTAACCAGTTCCTTAAAAAAGCTCAAAAAACTGTTGACTGTAAGACCCACAATGTAAACAAAGAATACTCACAAAGAAGTCTGCTAATACCACTAAGGCCATTAAAACACTGCCTGTAACAATTCTGCCAATCTCAAATGTAACAAGTTCTCTTCCTTTTGGAAATAAATTGACTTTGCTTCCTTGTCTCAGGACTCAATAACTCCACTTCTTACCTCTCTTTCATACCAGTTCGCTGCTTGGTGTACTGGGACTGCTGAATCAATAGGTGTCAATTCATCAGTATATGTTTTCACACGAATCCGGGAGTTGTAGCGTAGGGATAAGAGATTGTAAACAATCTAAGAAGGAAAATTAAAATGCAGTTATGTCATGTACTGGAACAGATTTTCACATTAAAAAGAAATTTTAAAATTACAGTGACTTCCCATATAATTGCAATACAGTTGTGGTATAAAACACAATGGAACAGTGCTTTCCCCTCTCCAGTATTTTAGAGGTAAAACACTGGCTTCCAAAATCTATATACACTATATTTAATGTTTAGGCTGTCTTCTTACCAATGATTTGCCTCAGGTTCAGACAAAATATTTTAGATCAAATCAGACAGAAAAAAAACAACATTTTGAACACCTTTCAGGAGAAAAAGTGGTTTTAGAAGGTCTGAGTCAGGTTTCACAAATGCCCAGCCAAGAAACTTTCAGAGATTACAATAAATAGTGCATTATGGAAAGCCTAAAGTCATTTCAAAGGTCATGGTAATTCAGAAACAAAAAATTAAGATGTTAACAAAACAATCTTATGCATATTTACTCAGGAGTAAACAGACACAAAACCAATTCCAATAAAACATTCAATGCCATAAAGTGCAGGAAAATAATAAACAATCATAAACAGGTGAGAACTTATTAAACAGCCAGAATAGCTCTAAAAACACGTGGGAAAGGAGCCCCGGAAGCCCCCTCCCTCCCAGCGCAATTACTTAACAAAATAGTAACAAAAAATTCCTTACTCTCATTATAATAATTAAATGGGTACTTATGATATTTCAGAAATATTTTAGAAATGCCTTGCCAGTGCCCCCTAATTTTGTAATGAATATTGAAACATTCTTCTTCACTGATTGCACAGGCCTAGTCAACATATCCTTTTTCCATTTGTCAAAAGATGTATTTATCTGAAATTGCTTCATGAGAGTTTATGTCCAACAGACATTAAAAACTAGGGGAGGGAGGCATAACTGAAAATTAAAAATGCCTTAGTGACAAAACCAAGAAAAACTTATTTTCTCCCACAAGATACAGAAGCCATCAATATTTACAACAAAACATATTGTCAATAAATGATGAAATAGCCACTTCTATGAAATGAATGTGTCCTTATCTGGTCCAACCCCAGAGTTACACACTTATTTAGATCTCATCTGTGAAAGCCTGCTGCAGTGTAGCCGGAACGACAAATCCCCAACATAATGCATTAGCATATGACACCAACTTAAATTGAATAAGTATAACCCAGTAGACTATTATATTACACTGATTAAACATAATTCAAAGCACTTTAAGCTAGATTCAAATTTGAAATGCTATAATTAGGATGACCTATTAAGGTGTTTATACTAGTGTGGGTATTTTAAGATGACCAAAGAACTGGAGAAATAATTTAGAACGGACTGTCAACTGCAAAGGGTTGGTCTTGCAAGCAAAATATAGATTATGAAGTGTCACGTTAATGGTTTTTGAGGTATATTTAGATATAGCTCTTTATAGAACTCCTTACAACATTATTCCAAAAGGGAACATTGCTCTCAAAACAACTCCTGATGGCCCAGGAACTTTTTTTAGTGGTTTAAACAGCCGTATTCTTGTGGTGACAGCCGACAAGGAGCTCTGCCATGGGCTGGTCCATGAGGTCACAAAGAGTCGGAAACGAATGAACGAATGAACAACAACATTCTTACACAACACCATAATTAGCATCACACAATGCACAGTATTATTTATTTATTTATTTACCACATTTATATACCACTTTTCTCCACCTAAGGGTACTAAGTGCTAAGAATGACAACCATTTCTGAATCAGTAACTGCATAAAAACTAAATTCATCACGAGAGATCACAGATGTGGTAATCTGGAAGCAACACCCTAGAGATCAGCAAAAATAGAGGAGCCCCCGGTGGTGAAATCTGGGTTAAACTCTTGTGCCAGCAGGACTGCTGACTAGGTCAGCAGATCGAATCCAGAATGGGGTGAGCTCCTGTCTGTCAGCTCCAGCTTCTCATGCAAGGACATGAGAGAAGCCTCCCACAGGATGGTAAAACATCTGTATGTCCCCTGGGCAACATCCTTGCAGACGGCCAATTTTCTCACACCAGAAGCAACCTGCAGCTTCTCAAGTCACTCCTGACAGGAAAAAAGGCAAAAATAAAGCATGGCAGTCACACATGGGAATGGAGACATGAGGAAAAAAACCCTAGAGGGATACTATTACATCTATTTATTTGTTGTACAAAGGATAAACAATATTTTGATCTTTGGAGATTTTGCAAGCAAGAATCACCTTTATAGTATACATTGAAAATCTGCTCTTACCTCAAAACGGTTGTGTCGAGATGGAACATCAACAGCTGTGAGGTCAGCCATGGATTTAAACTGGGCATTTGTGTGATCTTTTAGAAAGCTTAGAACTGGAATGACTCCATCTGGGTGAATTAAGATTTCCAACTCATTGAAACATGTCACCTGGTAGGGAAAAGAGTAGAAATATAATGGGAGGATGGGCATAAACAAAAACTGCTCTGCTAAATTACTTGGATTTAGGTTCTTCGTAAACCATTGGCACAATTTCTAAATGAATGTATTAATGGATGCACCATAAGTTCGAGCAAATAAACTTTAGGGTGTAATTAAGAAACTCTTCTGCATTGTCCTGCTCCTCTTAATATGTGTCATCTCTCAAAAGAGATCTGACTCTTCTTATTACAGCTTCAAGAGAAAATGATTCAATCTGCAGAACCCACCTGGACTTGTTGGACATACTTGGGCAGAATTTCAGCCACATATTCTCCAAAGGCAGACAGCTGTTTGAGAGTTACTTCATCCTTTGGCCTAACAGTAGCTAAAAAAAAGAATGTCATAGTGTAAGGTATGGGGGGAAACCAACATCACTGAATAATCAAACAAAGCTCAACACAATGACAATAACATCTGGACAAGCACAATAATCAAAACAACATGGAATCAAGGTTCTGTGTTGTTTTTAAGAATCAGTTTCCGTGTTTCAACAACAATTCTTTTGTGAATGGAAAAAGTGTAATGCCAGTATCAGTACTTTCTCCATTTGTTTACAATCCCATCAAACGATGAAATGGTAAAATCTACTTCTTTGAGTGTGGTGGAGTCTCCTTCTCTGGAGCCTTTTCAGCAGAGGCTGGATGGCCATTTGTCAAGAATGCTTTGATTTTTCATTCTTGTATGGTTGGAGGATTGATTGGATGATCCTTGTGGCTCCTTCCAGCTCTGTGACTCTATGACACAGTTTCTCTTCATTTATAGAAAAACTTCAAGTTAATGAAAAAGTGTGGGAAGGAGGTCTTCCATGCTTTGTGACTCACAAGCACAGATCCTCTTATTAAAATAAAACCTGCTAAGGCACCAAAGGCTTGCTGCAGTACTCTCTTAGTAAAGGGCTCTATCCTAGAAATCTCGTTGCAAGAGGAAACTGCTGGTCCTATGTTGCTTAAAACAAAACAGGCAAACATGCTATCTTTAAGACACAGATTTTTTCACTATGTCTTCAATCAGCCTCAGAGGCTTTTCTGGGTGTATCACATTGCAAAAGCATAGGTTCATGCAGACATGCATTTGGCAACAATAAGGTTGTTACCTGGGATAGCTTGTAAGCATGCTGCCAATACATCAAGCTCTGATGCTTTTGTGTAATGGTGTAGGTTAGTGGTTGTCAAACACTAATTCTTCAGATGTGCAGGACTTCAGCTCCTAGAATTCCTGACCCAGTCGCCATGCTGACTGGGGCTTCTGTGAGTCAAAGTCCCAGATATCTGGAGGACCCAACTGTGAGAGGCACAGCTGTATGGTACATCACGATAACATACAACCTCAATCCATCAATAGATGTGACAAATAGTAGAGATGTTTAAGACAATTCTGCTCACATTTGGGTGGGCTGGCAGACACTATCGACAATCAGCTTCCCATAATATTAAGTCTTCATTCATAGGTCACACTAATACTTGATGCATTTGATGGAATGAACTTTATGCTTTAATCAGTTTATTATCAGTTGTTCTTTTAGGTACCAAAATATTATTTGTCACTGATGCCAGGAGACAGAGACACAATCTTTTATTATATCATGCTTGCTAGGACAATGCAAATATAATCTTGGCTAGGAAGGCAACCACAGCATCTTCAAAACTGTATCTATTTCAAAATTACACTGCACAGTTAAAGTGCAGGTAAATACACATGACCAAAATAACTTTCTAAGGTGAGAATACAATTGTATGGTGGGGCCAGGTGTCTACTGCCTCTGCCTACCCACATAAAAACAGGATTTTATCAGCCACCTGCCCATAGACTATCTTGTAATGTCCTCTCACAACAAAGTCTAAACATTGCCATCATTTTGAACTTCTAACAAAGCTGACCTTACCCTATGATAGACATGGACCGGTTCAAGTACTAAAGATATCAGACTTACGTCGTGTCTCAACACTAGCACTTCCTTCAAAGCGAGTTTGTAACAACACTGCAGAACGTCCTGCAACTATAAAAAGGAAAAGATCTGTTAATACCTGCATTTTAACAGTGGTATAATTTCCTATAAAATTACATGGTAAGTTATTTTATCTATAGTACAAATAATCTACTCAAATGATAAAAAGCAAATCATTTCATCAGAGGCTGCAAATTTAAAGTCTACGGGTTACATGAACCCCATATGTTGCACCACATTATATAATAGGATAAGTCATTCAAATTTATTTATTTTATTTACAGTATTTGTATAACACTTTTCTCACTCCAAGGGGGACTCAAAGTGGTTTATACATAAGTAATGGCAAAAATTCAATGCCAGTAATTGTATACACTACAATTAGACATGAATTAAATTAAAAAATGAGCAATAAAATAACAAAAACAATAAAACAGTCTCCTCCGTCAAATCGTCGTTCCAGTCATTGTCTTTCCGAAATGCTGCATACATTTACTTCTACTGCCGAAAGGCCTGGTCCCAAAACCATGATTTTTTTTTTCTAAAAGCCAGGAGGGAGGGAGCGGATCTTACCTCATTTGGGAGTGTGTTCCAAAGGTGGGGGGCCACAGCCGAGAAGGCCCTGTCTCTCCTCCCCGCCAGGCGCACCTGTATTGTTGATGGGAGCGAGACCAGGGCCTCCCCGGATGATCTTAGATTGCGAGGCGGGACGTAGGAGTGGATGCGTTCGGACAAGTAAGCTGGGCCAGAACTGTATAGAGCTTTATAGGTCAAAACCAGCACTTTGAATTGGGCTCGGAGATGGACCAGCAGCCAGTGGAGCTGGCATAGCAGGGGAGTGATATGCTCCCTTTATGCCCCCCCCCCCCAGTTAGTAATCTGGCTGCCGCCCATTGAAGTAGCTGTACTTTAAACTAGTCCAAGGACTAGTTTAAAGTACAGAGTAGGCATGCTCATTAATTTCTAATACATCTTCCTTGTCTCGACGTGAAGAAATTCCAGTTCACCAAAAGTTCTAGATTGATTTAGTCAGTCATTTTTTTCCTTCTGTCACAGGATGCTTGGTGCCACAATTTTTTTAGGTCTTGTACTTATTAACAGTGGATAGATGCACAACTGCTGAACAGTATTGCAACAGACATGATCAAAACTCACTTAAAATTGGTTTAAACCAACACAATATTATTAAAATGCACATATTAAAATACACATAACAAAGTCAAGGTGTGGCTTTTTGAACAAGCGTTTGCAAATGCAGAGTAACTGACACAGGAAAATGGAATGACTGGACAATGAGTCCGGACGTTTTTAACAAGGATACACTATGAATTTATATTTTATTTATTTGTTTAGTTTTTATTATATGTTATGTTTTTAATTGTATTTATGACATTGTAAGCATTGAATTTTGCCCTGTTAACAGCCTTGAGTCGCCTATGGGCTGAGAAAGGCGGTATACAAATAATAATAATAATAATAATAATAATAATAAACTTTATTTGTACTCCATCTCCCCAATGGGGACTCGGTGCGGCTTACATGAGGTCAAGCCCAAAACAACAATTACATGAAATAAAACAAAACCGAAAACGCAAATAATAAACAATAATAACGCAACTATATAAAACAAAAGACAACATAGCAATATAAAATTACAATAAACACAATCATGGTAACATGGGCGAGCTACATGTAATGGATAAAAGAAAATTGGGTAGAAACAGATTAAAAACTCAGGCGAGATAAACACGAGATAAACAAGGACAGATTATTTGCGGAGGAGAGCTCGTTTTAGTGAAGGTCGTGGAGCAAAACTTTCCTATGGGAGGAATGCACTCCAATAACAAAAACCGTTAAACCAAACACTGGTATGAGGATGTATTTACAGGAAGTAAATAAATAAATAAATAAAGGTGGGCAATAAAACTAAATCTTTTATTTACATCCCGTTTTTACCCCTAACAGGACCCAAAGCGGCTCAAACATAATACAACAAAAATCAAAGCACATTTAACATAAAACACAAGACAAAAATCCACAAAACATAATAACGTCCAGAAATATGATACAAATAAGCATTAATCATTAAAAACATTTAAAACCAATTATAATTATTGTGGAGACTCATCAATTAAATAGTATATTTCGCCAAACTCAGTACAAATCGACCTTGCTGTCATTAGCAATTGACTTCATTCGTCAAAAGCTTGCTTGAATACTAACAAAGGCAAAGGAAATGAAGGCAAGGCACCACAAACAGTGAATATTTTTTGGAGGAAACACTCTTAAGAAGAACTTAGGAACCATACGGTTTGTACTGACTGAACTAGCATGGTGTCTCACTCAGTAGACTGGGAATTGTAGTTTCGTGAGGTGCTGAGAGGCCCTTGTTAGTGATGCGTCCATTGCCTCGCACAACTACATTTCCCAGAAGTCCCTGCGAAGAAATCTCAGTAATACTGCGAGACCTCTGACAGCAGAAACCCTCGTCAGTGGTGGCTGCGGACAGGGCCTCTCCGGGTCCGAAGCGCCTCTCCGGCCTTCTCCCCCCTTCGGAGCCTCACCTCTGAGCCCGGCCCGAGCCCGGCCCAGCGCGGCCGCCAACATTTCCCCTCTCCGGGACGCCGACCGAGAGGCAGCCGCAGGACGCACAAGGGCACGGAACGGACCTCAAGGCGCATGCGCCCGCCGTGGCCTTCGCTCTCTCTGATTGGCCGAAGCGCGGCTTGCCGTCACGCGCTGCCCAAGCCGCGCGTGCGTGCCTGCGTGCGCGAGGTCCCCTTCCGAAATGATCCGGAAATGAGGGGGCGGGGCGACTTCCGCCAGCACGCCGCCCGGGCTCGGCAAGCGCACCCGCTTGGGCGTCCCCTCTTCCTTCCTCTTTCCCTCGAGCTCTTCCCGGTGTGAGGCTCCCGAGCCGGAGGAATGAAGGGCGGCGCCGCCACTGCAAGTAAGCGCTGGGCAAGTGCCTGCCCGTTGCGGGGGCGGAAGGGCCGTTAGTCTCCCGCCAGAGAAAGGGAGGCAGGGAGAAAGGAAGGAAGAAAGGGGCGGCCCTGGAGTGCCTGCGAAAGAGGACAGGATACACACACACACAGAGAGGCGCGACCCATTGTTTAGGGTGCATCTACACCAGGTATGGGCAAACTTGGGCCCTCCAGGTATTTTGGACTTCAGCTCCCACCATTCCTAACAGCCTCAGCCTTTCCTTTTCCCCCTCAGCCGCTTAAGCGGCTGAGGGGGAAAAGGAAGGGGCCTGAGGCTGTGAGGAATGGTGGGAGTTGAAGTCCAAAATACCTGGAGGGCCCAAGTTTGCCCATACCTGGTGTAGATGCACCCTAAACAATGGGTCGCGCCTCTCTGTGTGTGTGAGTGTATCCTCAGGGCCTGAGGCTGTGAGGAATGGTGGGAGCTGAAGTCCAAAACACCTGGAAGGCCCAAGTTTGCCCATACCTGCCACATAGCCATTTTGGGTCCCAGTCCTGGAGGAAAATAAATCATTGGACTGGAGCGTTTTCTTATATCCAGAAGGGAATGGTAGCTCCTGGAACAAGAACCAAGGATACCGAGGGCCCACTGTAGCCATGCATGGGATGACACTGCTGTTGCTCAGTTGGATGTTTTGTAATCATAGAATCAAAGAGTTGGAAGAGACCTCATGGGCCATCCAGTCCAACCCCCTGCCAAGAAGCAGGAATATTGCATTCAAAGCACCCCTGACAGATGGCCATCCAGCCTCTGTTTAAAAGCTTCCAAAGAAGGAGCCTCCACCACACTCTGAGGCAGAGAGTTCCACTGCTGAACGGCTCTCACAGTCAGGAAGTTCTTCCTCATGTTCAGATGGAATCTCCTTTCTTGTAGTTTGAAGCCATTGTTCCGCGTCCTAGTCTCCAGGGAAGCAGAAAACAAGCTTGCTCCCTCCTCCCTGTGGCTTCCTCTCACATATTTATACATGGCTATCATATCTCCTCTCAGCCTTCTCTTCTTCAGGCTAAACATGCCCAGTTCCTTAAGCTGCTCCTCATAGGGCTTGTTCTCCAGACCCTTGATCATTTTAGTCACCCTCCTCTGGACACATTCCACCTTGTCAATTGTGGTGCCCAGAATTGGACACAATATTCCAGGTGTGGTCTAACCAAGGCGGAATAGAGGGGTAGCATTACTTCCCTAGATCTAAACAAGTGGTTCTCAACCTGGGGTCCCCAGATGTTTTTGGCCTACAACTCCCAGAAATCCTAACTGCTGGTAAAATAGCTGGGATTTCTGGGAGTTGTAGACCAAAAACATCTCAGGACTCCAGATTGAGAACCACTGATCTAGATACTATGCTCCTGTTGATGCAGCATATTTATTTATACCCCTTTTTATCTCCCCTGAAGGGGACTCAAAGCAGCTTGACATAAAAATGTTAGCACAGCATTTAAAATATTTATTTATTTATTTAATCTACTGCATTTCTATGCCACCCCTCTCAGACCAAAATTCCGAGTTTTGGTCTGCTGCCGGAAGGACAGCAGGAAGGGGGACATTCTGGCTTCCCTGTGCAGGAAGTTCCAGGCTCAAGGGGCAGCTACCGAGAAGGAAGGCCCACTCTCCCGTTCCATCCAATTGAGCTTGAGATGGAGGTGGGACTGAGAGAAGGGCCTCTCCTGAAAATGTCAGGGCTTGGGTGGTCAACTAAATGGCCTGGTCCTGAACTATCTAGGGCTTTAAAGGTCATAACCAGTGCTTTGAATTGCATGTGGAAACAGACTGGTAGCCAGTGGAGCTGCTGCAGGAGGGGAGTTGTCTTCTCCCTGTAGCATGCCCTAGTGAGCAACCTGGCTGCAGCTCTTTGGACCAGCTGAAGTTTCCAAGCACTCTTCAAAGGCAGCCCCACATAGAGTGAGTTACAGTAATCCAGATAGGATGTCACTAAGACATGGACTACTGTGGCCAGATATGGCTTCTCTAGGAATGGGAGCAGTTGGCGCACAAGTTTTGTTTAAAGGCCCTCCCAGCCACCGCAGATGCCTGGGTTCAATTTGGAGTCCAGAACTAAAGCATTTCAAAGTGATGCTTCAGAGAAGTGTGTGTTGTGTCTATACATGGCAGGCAACCTGGATGAATCAATCTTCCTTATATGGATATACAACTCCAGTTGCCTCTCAGAAAATCTTTCTCTCACACTTTGTTATGATTACAGTGTGTTCACAGCAGATTCAAGTAGAATACAAGCCAAGCTTTCAGAGTTTTGGAGATCATTTTGTTAAGTGGACATAACTTTGCATTAGATTGTTGCTGTTCTGCTTAGAGCAACTGTTGGCCACCTCTTTGTAAACTGACATCTTAACACAAAAAAAGTTTCCAACTTATGGGAACCCAAAGGGAAACCTAACGCAGGGTTTTCTATGGCTGAAAGTGTACCTTGCCCAAGGGTTATCAGGCCAAGCTGGTAGTCAAAACCTAATCTCGGCTCATAGCACAACACTCAAGCTACTGTTCCATGCTGGTGCTTATAAAGCGATATTCCAGGTTTTCTGGATTAAAACTCCCAGCATACTTTGCCTGGGGGTTATATCCAATAGCATTTGGTTCCTCACATTTATCATCCTAACATAGAACTTCTGAAATTATTATTTTAATGTTTGCATGTACATTTTGAAATATAAGAATATTTAACTTCAACGTAAATAAGTCTATTATGCACAGTGAGATATAGTTGTAGTATGCTTCCTGTACAATGGAGGGTCCAGAAGCTAATGTGTTTGAGAAACGATCTAATTCCTGAAGTTATATAAACGTAGTGCACTGTTCCCTTAATCCTGTTCTATGGTGTATTGCTGGTCCAGCACCATGGTCCAGGAAGTAATCTTTACACAGAATCATTTCTCTCTTCCTTCTGTATATCATTCATGATGTCTTCCTAACTTGATGTTTAAATGTATAAACCTATATAACTTGAGCACTTTAGTTGGAAATACAACATGGTTTTGTAACAAAGAATTTCTAATGTCTTGCATTTCAGATTGCTGGAGGTCAAACCAAGGCAGCAATATGGACTCACTGGAGGAGACTGGCGGTTCCTCAGCAGAGGAAACTGGAAATTCTTCAACTGAGAACTATTTTGTGAATTATACTTTCACCGATCGTTCTCATTCAGGCCGTGTGGCCCAAGGAATTATGAAGTTGTGCCTAGAGGATGAGCTCTTTGCTGATGTTACCATTTCGGTGGAAGGCAAAGAATTTCAATTACACCGACTTGTCCTCTCTGCTCAGAGTTGCTTCTTCCGTTCTATGTTCACATCCAACCTAAAGGAGGCACATAACCGGGTGATTGAGTTACAAGATGTCAGCGAGAGTGTCTTTCAGCTCCTGGTGGACTACATATATCATGGAACTGTGAAACTGAGGGCAGAAGATTTGCAGGAGACATATGAAGTGGCAGATATGTACCAACTAACTGCCCTCTTTGAGGAGTGCTCTCGTTTCTTGGCTCGAACAGTGCAAGTGAAAAACTGTTTGCAGATTATGTGGTTGGCTGATCAGCACAGCGATGTGGGACTCTACACAGCTGCCAAGCACTGTGCCAAGTCATACTTAGCACAACTTCAGGAAACAGAGGAGTTTTTGCACCTTCCTCTTCGTCTCCTGACAGATATTATCTCAGGTAGGTAGAATTGTCATTCGTTGTCCAATATACACTCTACACCAAGAACTGGGCAGGAGTGCACTCTTTCTTTTCTGCTATGGGTCTCTGGCTTTTAATGCTATCAACCTTGGTGTCGTAGGATTATTGAGGATGGACTATTTTACAATTCTGATTTTTATTTTTTGTGAAGGGACATTTCTGGAAGATGGTCAAAGACTTTATTTCCTTGGTTCGGGTGGGGGTCCATTCCATCCCCATTTTATTTTATTTAATACATTCTATATATTTATGATATTTAATCTCCATGGAAAGAGATATGAAGATTGGGAGTTCAATCCCTCCAGCATACACATCACATCTAGTTCTATTTTTGTTCATATTACAAGGGAAGCTGTGAAATTCTGAACTCATATATAAAGTCGGCAATTCACTGATTAACAGATAATAAATGTAAACTTAATCCAGCACAAGAAGTGCTCATCATTAATGGAATGACCATCCTGGACATACTGTATGACCCTAGAAAATTCATAATCTGAAGATGGTCAGATATAAAGCTAAATCCAGGAGATACGCATCAACTACACTCAGTGCTGGATCATGATAATATGTTCTAGTTACATAACAACTTAACAATTACAATGTGATTTATATGGGGTTATCTTTGAGATGTGTCTGGTATTTCTGTTTGTTGAAAATTCAGTGCCCAGTTTGACTAGGAGAACCAGGTTTCAGCATGTAATCCAACTACTGTATTGGCTTTTTATATAATTTGGACCCAGTTCAAAGTGCTAGTTGTATGCATGTATGGTTTAGTGTTCTATATGCTAATATTATTAAGATCAACCTCAGCAGGTCAATTCCTTGTTACATTTTGTTGGAACAAGGAAGAACACTTTGCTGAAACGTTGGAATGCCCTGCCTTGAGACTGTGTCCTCTCCTGGGCACCCAGTGCTCAACACGATCTTGTTAAAGATCTTGTTTTGGTCTTCAGAAACTGGACCACTCTCCCTCAGCTTCTCTGAATTGGTTTGTAAACCTTTTGTTTCTAAATTTTGAGGTTATTTCTTTTTTTAATTTTTATTCGCTTGGCTTTTCCATAGTTGTTCGCTTAGTTTTGTTACTTCTATTTTTTATATATAACTTCTGCTTTTATCCACCCTGGGTTGTATGATGAAAGGTGGGATTAACTATTTTAAATAATAAACACATTTCTATATACTTGAAGCCTACATAATGTAAAGGTGAACTTTAAAAATCTTATAACTTTAAAAAATACTCGTTAGAAATTAGAAAACCTGGAGGAAAATGGGAGTATATTGTTTTTAAAAAGTTGCTTCAGAATCTTTATACAAATACCACATATGACATTTTAAGTGAGGGGCAGATCACTCTTTTAAGATAATAAAAGTGTCAATAATGAAAGCTAGCAAAAATCTCTATAAAACAATATTTTCTTAGGATGTTTATGTTTGGATTATAATTTTTGAAGCTGGGGTTAATACTTTAATATTTGTACCTCCTCTAGAATGCTGCAAAGCTCAGTTAGTGAACAAGGTCTTTTGCAACTCATGCAAAGATTAGCCATAATTTCTTAGTTCATAGTTCAGCTCTGAGACAACAATCTATATTGAATGTAATGTTTTACTTAGCTGAAAATGAAAGCCACTGTACACCAATAATGAGGGAAATGCAGTCAGCTCTGTATCCATGGATTTTGCACCCACTTTTTGAAATTATTTTTTTTAATTCTAAAAAGCAAACCTTGATTTTGTTATTTTATAAAAGGAGACCATTTTACTACGTCAGTGTATATAATGGGACGAACATCCATAGATTTTGGTATTAGTATATACCAAGAGTACACTGCCATTTATTGATCAAATGTTAAATCCCAATCAGTTGATACGTTGTTCCCCTAAATAGACTGATCATGAATTGCTTTCATAGTTAGATATAATTTCCAAAATAAATGAAATTTGTTACATTATAGTTTACATACATCTATATTTTACTATTTTGTTCTGTGTGAGCAGAAAATAAACTTGTAAGAAAAATTAAAATAATGTGTTGTTTACACAAAACTGATGCAAGGGAGCTTTGTGGTCAACCAGTGATAATGTATCTGGAGGCATAGTTGAGATCTACACACTGAATTTGTACTCCTCCACTAGCAGAACGGACTCTGCTAAGTAAATGTATTCCCTTCTCCTTGATATCTGCCCCAACGCAAACCTGCCCCACAAAGTTGTGCCTTTTGTGGGGGAGTAAGGAGAAGTCTGCTCTCCTGACATTGAGTTATGAACAAGTGATCTCTGTTCAGGCTTTGGAGCCAAGCCAGCTGTTGCAGAGCCAGTGCCACACAAAAGGTTTTCTGGGGAAAAAACAGACATTAGGTCTAGAAGGTAATCATGGCTTACATATTTATGTTTACATGTTCAAAATTTCTGTAGTATTGAGTAATTATGCAGTTCCTGTGACTCATACTCTGCAACTCTAATCCATCCCTCTGATCTTGTGATCTCATCCACAGAAATCCATTTGCATCTAAGTGACCTAGTAGCCTGCTTTAAGAAGCTGGAAATTATAGTTCATAAAAGGTTTCATTTTCTACAACTTTCTGGAAAAACAGATTTTACAGTAGCAATGTACAGTTCAATAGTATTATTCATTGCTTAAAAACGGCAGACTAGGACCTAATGAGGTACATTTCTCTGATAGAAATGTTTCCCTGAGTAAAACTGAGAGGCAGCGTTACAACTCTTCCCATTGCAGTTCCTGTGAGACCCTCCCCCAGCCTAATCTAGAGCCAAATGGCACCATGAGTTGATGGGGAGAGAAGTTTCCCTGTGGTGCTCTAGCACCAGTGCAGTGGTCTCTTTAGGCCTTAGCGTATTTCACCTTTGAGTTCAACATCTTTTAGTTCAGGCAATAGAATATCTACTTTTAATTGGAATTCTCTCTTATGAAATTGAAATTAAAGTTGATGTCAATAAATATTAACAAGTCAATTGACTAGTCCACCATGTTTGGCTTTCTACTTTCAGTATTTGCAATAGTGATCAGTAGAAAACATATCTATATTTACTTGTTGTTTGCCTCCAAGTAGTTTCCAACCTGGGTCGACCTCATTACAGGGTTTTCTTGGCAAGATGTGTTCAGAAGAACTTTGCCATTGCTTTCCTCTGAGGGAGTGTGATGTGCCCAAGGTCAGTCAGTGGGTTTCATGGCCAAAAGATCTCCAGAGTTGTAGTCCAACACTCAAACCACCTGTATTTATTTAGGTTCATAAAAACCATGCAGCCTTCAAATAGTAATTGGTCATGTAAGAGGATGATTAAACTCTATGTTGGGATACTTTATCTCAGGAAATATGGAACATAAACCAAATTTGATGATACCAATTCTGATAGAATTAGATTTGAAAGGGAAATCTCCAGATCCACTTACAGTTAGTGATAGGATTAACGTCTCCTTTCTTATCCCATATTTCCGCCAAATGAAGGCAAAAAATGCTAGTCAATTGCCATAGAAAAATGTGCATGCAATCTCATACAGCCAGGCTATGCCTGTCAGAGTGATGTTGCTTCTCATATAACTCTTACTATGGAAAGAATGTTGCCTTCCTTTTGGGTGTTGCTTGTTTTCAGGGAACAAGGCAGTCAGTCACAAGTTGCAGAATAGTAAGAGGTCAACTTTCTTATCATCAGCTCAAAAGACTTTCACTTGGCATGTTAGCAGAACTTGCATTTGGTTTACTACTGTTTCATGAAAAGTGTTGCTGAGCCAAGGAGATATCCATTTATGGGTAAGAACAAAAAGCGAAGTGAAATGGTCCAAGTGGGTGAAAGAGTAGGAGACAGCCATCAGATGGAGCTAGTAAATGAACTATCAGGTTCAGAATCTAAAATAAAGATCAGGCCACCATATCAGCTTAAATATCTTGTTAACGGAAATATTTTTAGAGACTGAAGGTTGAGTCTCAGATCAAGTTGTCTTATTAGTAGTAGCCAAAGTAATTGTGAGTTAATGACATGATTTTCAGTGTGCTATTTTCTTACACATTATAGTAAGAACTGACACATATTTTCAAATAATAAACTACTTTATCTACAAGAGACATATGATGATACAGAATTTTATTTGAGCCTACAAATCCATGCCAGCACTTGTTTTGTAGAAATCAAGGTAAAATTAGCAGGTTTCATGGAAAGCATTAATAACTGAGCTGTATTTAAAAATTGTGCTACCAAGCCCACTGTTCCGCTTTTACAAGTGCCATCTCTATTAACCTGCTGACTTCTACAATCACTGATCTCATTACTAGTAATGAGATCAACCAAACAAAGCTAGCTATCCCGCAGAGAGAAAAGCTTGCTGTCTTGGAGACTAGAAATTGTGCCTTTCCTTGTAACAATCAGAAAGTCTATGATAAATCAGGCTCATATCGTACTGAAGAGTAAATAATCCAAATGGTTTTAAATATTTCTGAAGAATGCATCTGTTTTAAATATGTTAAGAAATGAAATTAACGGTTGTGACCTTTAGTATGACTGGAATCTTTTTTTTTCTCATTAAAAACACACAGAATAGGTTAAGTCTGTATAAGAAAATATTGGAAGTGTTAGTCTGCTACAACAGCATTCTCACGGTCCTCTATAAATTATCACATGGCAAGGAATACGAAACTTTTTCCCAGGTAGTTGAATGCTAAATGAAATCTTTTGTTTTAACTGTAGGAGGAAAGATCTAGTGATCTAATATTGGCATCATATTTCCCATCTAAACCCATGAATTATCTGGGATGATCCCAGGTAGCTCACCTTCTTTCACTTCTGTGTTCTTCTGTAGAATGACATTATAAATAAACCAAATGTTTTGGGGAAAAAGTGGGAGTACCATGCAATGCAAGTTGAATACTTCATGATTTTTATCTTTGCAATCTTACAGATGGGGTTCCATGTTCTCAGAATCCAACAGCTGCCATAGAAACCTGGATTGGCTTTAATAAAGAAGAGCGTGCAGGTTTTTCAGAGATACTGCGATCAAGTTTAAAGGTATATAATTTGTGAGTCCAGGGTTTTTAAATTTAGAACATTTTAGATGCAAATTTGTGAAGAGTAGATAGGCAAATATCTTGACCTCTGCCATAATAGAAGACTCCAGGATTACACAATGAAATGGAATGATGAGAAAATCAGGTTAGAGAAAAGGAGGTACTCTTTACACCATCCATGTCTCAATTATACTGCTCAACACAAGATGTTATGATGGTCACCAGCTTTGTGAGCCTTAGAGCAACTAATGAAAGAAGAGAGCTCCATTTTCAAAGACATTATGGTTCGTAGTTCCAGTTGCTGAGAAACAGAAGCAGGAAGGTGCCATTACTTGTAGCTGACCCATAATCATCAACTGTGAGAACATAAAGCAGCACTCATCTTAGCCATCATAGTTCATCCCCTTCCTTATCTGCAATCAGGTGGCAATTATGCTGAAAATGTATTGTCGAAGGCTTTCATGGCCAGAATCACTGGGTTGTTTTAGGTTTTTTGGGCTATATGGCCATGTTCTAGAGGCATTCTCTCCGGACATTTCGTCTCACTACCGCTGAGGGTGCTTGCCATAGATGCAGGCGAAATGTCAGGAGAGAATGCCTCTAGAACATGGCCGTATAGCCCGAAAAAACCTACAGAAACCCTATGCTGAAAATACTAGGTACTTTGGGTGCTGGGGTGACTTAATATTTGCTTAAAGAAGTGAAAATACTAATTTGAAGTGTCATTTCAATTTTGCTAGTTTGGCATTTCCATACGTGTTTCTAAGTGACTGGGTACAATTATGCATCTCACCTAGGGCCCCTTTCATAACAATTAGAGCACTGTGGTTCCACTTAAATTGCCACTTTTCTATCCTGTGGTTGTGCATTCCAGTTAGGAGGGAGTACTTAGAAGTCTCTGTCAGAGAGGTCTAGTACCTCTCCAAATGAGAAATTGCAGGATTCTATAAGATGACTCCGTGGCAGCTAAAGCAGAAACAGTGATATAATTGTGCAAAATGAAAGAGCCAATAATGTTTGGCCTGAAATAAAAGGATAATGAGAGACTTGAGTCCCAGTATGCAGCCTGCAAATGGCCTGATACCTTGTGGGACAAGGTGTCAGGTCCAACTTAGCAAATTTCTTATTGTGTGAATTTCTGGACAAAGACCCATGCAAGTCTAATGAACATTCATTTACATCCCTAGGAAATTGGAGAGAAGGTTCATATCTACCTGATTGGAAAGGAGTCATCTCGAACACATTCTCTTGCTGTCTCGCTGCACTGTGCTGATGACGACTCAATTTCTGTTAGCGGTCAAAACAGCTTGTGCCACCAGATTACTGCAGCCTGCAAGCATGGTAGTGACCTCTATGTTGTTGGAGGATCCATTCCACGCCGCATGTGGAAATGCAACAACACCACAATAGACTGGGAATGGTGTGCACCTCTGCCCCGTGACAGGCTTCAACACACTCTGGTTTCTGTTCCCAGTAAGGATGCCATCTATTCATTGGGTGGCAAGACGCTGCAAGATATCCTCTCTAATGCAGTCATATACTACAGAGTCAGAGACAATGTATGGACAGAAACTAGCCAGCTGGAAGTAGCCGTGTCTGGAGCTACAGGTGTAAATCTCAATGGCGTCATTTATTTGTTGGGTGGTGAGGAGAATGACCTGGACTTTTTTACCAAGCCTTCACGGCTTATCCAGTGCTATGACACCAACACAGAAAAGTGCCATGTGAAGCCTTATGTGTTACCTTTTGCAGGCTGCATGCATGCCGCAGTGCACAAGGACCTAGTGTTTATAGTAGCAGAGGGGGATTCACTGTTGTGCTATAATCCTCTCCTGGATAGCTTCACCAGGCTCTGTTTGCCAGATGCCTGGAGTTCAGTGCCATCCCTCTGGAAAATTGCTAGCTGTAATGGGAACATCTACATCTTCCGAGATCGCTACAAAAAGGGAGATGCCAACACCTTCAAACTCAATCCGGCCACCTCTGTGGTAGCTGTCAACAGTGGTCTCAAAGTGCTCCTTACAAATCTACAATTTGTTTTGGCATGAGAGAAGAAAAACCTATTGCTAGAACACTAATAAAACATTCCATTAAGCAGGGCGGAGATGCATAGACCCCATAGCACCGGCTCTTTGAGGCAGACTGCAGTACTTGTAGACAGTTCCACCCTTTCTTCAAACCTTCAGTCACAAACAAGCAACACCACTACCGTACCTGCTGCAACACTAGCCCTTAATTAATGGGACCACAGACCTGTCTAGCTTATTGCTAACACTGTAGTCCTCTGCTGGTCACCTTTTATACCCCAAAGGTGAAAGTCTTCTTAGGCTTACATCTTTTACCACCAGCAAACACTTGTCCAAGCTGTTTAACCATTCCTTCAGTTACTTAAGAGCGTCCCATATTGCAGGTTGTGTAATCCTTCAAGTTATAAAACATCCCTGGAAGGTGCAATTATTAATCAAGTTCTGAAGGTTCCCTCTTCATTAGGGTTGCAGAAGACAATTAAGCCAAAGGTACTGAAAGTAATACACCCTGTAGTTTTCTAGATTGTACTAAGAATAGAGGAGACCACTATTCTGTGCTATCCAGCTCCCTGGCAGGAAAAGAAAAGCTGCCATTGCACCAATGCTGGGGTGCCCTGTCCTGAAACTTAGTTTCAAACATATCTGTTGATACTGTAAACCATTTGAGGTACAAAACTCAATAAAGGCCTCTACTGAAACAATACAGTGGTTTTATTGCTTGTATTTGAGACAGAAGCACTGACGAGTGGTTCCATTCATCTACTTTGAAATAATAAACAAGAGACAGTAAAGGCCAAATATGGTGTCAAAGCTCGGGGCTGTAGTTTTTTTATTCTAATGCTGCAGAAAGCTTACTGTTTGGTACCTGAGGCAACTGTAGTCCATTTCTAAATAACATCTTAGGAACCAGGTGTTTTCAGACGATTATTCTCCATCTGTTCTGATGATTTCTGTTCTCCTTTGTGTAGTTCTTGCTCCGATTGTGAAGGACTTCCAACTGTTACACACTTATGAAAGTCCTCTAGCAACTGAACTTGTTTATTGCGGACAATGATATGAGGACGGATCTTAGCAATGGCTTCTATTGCTTCTCGAGGGGTCCACTGGTGAAGCTATGAAGGCAGAAAAGCCGAATGAAAAAAAATCTTCTAAACTGGAAACAAAGTAATGTATGCAGTACAGTGGGAAGTTATTTCACAATGCACTCCTATTTAGTAGACTTAGCAATTATTTCTTTCCAACTATACAAGCCTTTCAAGTGAAATCTGCCTTGACCTGATCCCAGCAAAGTGTGTCTCATCCTCTCTTTCTTTCTGCTCTCGCAAAGGGAAGGATGATTTCTGAACTGCTTTCCATTTTGTTTTAACAGCAGGATTGTAAGCTTCTGCACTGTCCAAATATCACATAAGGATAAATGGGACATAAAGCTAGATCAAAATCTTGTTATAAAAACTTACAATTATCTGCAATTAATTAACATGCATTATCATTCCATTCAGTCCCTTAGTGGTATCTTTTTCTTCCATTTTGCAAAAGGCAAAGGGATTTCATGTTTTCACTCAGATGACGAAATAATCCTAGATTCATTCTAGTGACATGCAAGTTATCTGGAAGGCAGCCTTTTTTAGTCTAGTGATTAAAGTTAAAGTGATTAAAGTTCCCCTGACATTAAGTCTCGTCAAGTCCGACTCTTGGGGGTGGTGTTCATCTCCAATTCTAAGCTGAAGAGCCAGCATTGTCTGTAGACACCTCCAAGGTCATGTGCATGGAATGCCGTTACTTTCCCGCCAAAGCAGTACCTATTGATCTACTCACATTTGCATGTTTTCAAACTGCTAGGTTGGCAGAAGCTGGGGCTAACAGTGGGAGCTGACCCCACTACCTGGATTCAGATCGCCAACCTTCTGGTCAACAAGTTCAGCAGCTCAGTGGGTCAACCTGCTGTACCAGCAGTGGTCCCTACTGATTACTAAATCAAATACCCCAGCTGCTAAACCTGGATTTTGTTTCTTTATGACCCTACTGGGAACAGAGTACCAAGCCCAATAAAACTTCCACATCTTCTCATGTCCTTGAGCAGAAGCACTGTTATGGTATTACCAATGTAAGGCTTCCTTGCAATTGCCATCTTTTCTATCTGTACTAGGACAGCAATCTCTGGTCCTCCAGATGTTGATGAACTGTATCATCCATTAGTTGCAGCCCGTATTATAAATAACTATGACAGAAGCTGCAATCCAGGAAAATCTGGAAGACTACTAGTTATCCCCTGCAAATTAGCACAAACACTTCTTACTTGAATTAAGTAAGCAGCCACCATAGTGGCGCTACGAAAGCGGCCAGCTTTGCAGTGCACATAAACACTATTCCCACGTTCACGATGCTTCAGTAGAAACTCAACACCTTTGTGAAGGTTCTCCATCGAGGGGACTCCAGTTAGGTCCACGGTACTAAGGCGCAGCTGTTCTACTCCCATCGCCTCCCATTCCTGCAGGCAGCCCAGAAGACATAATCAGCCATTAGAAAAGGAAAGCAATGGAAAGGGTATTAGTGTATTGGCCAAAATCATGTGGGAACTTGAGTGGTAGTAATGTTACGTATTTAAAACACATGATTTTATTTCCTGGCCTTCAGAAAGAAAGTGAAAGGAAGCTTCTTAAAGTCCATCTCAAGTTCATTGCGGAAGGGGGAAGTGAAGACCAATGAACTTGAGAGGGCTGCACATCTAATGTAGTTTTTCCTTTTCCAAAATGGAAACAAAGCAACAATTGAATTCCTACTGAACACATGAAAGCATGATACTAGACCTTGACTTAGAATTGCAGCTCAAAGCTTTCAGGGCTGATGATTTCCCCTTTTCAGCCTAGAGAATGCCTTTAGGCTGTAAGAATGACCCTGAGCCATATGCAGCCCTTGGGTCATACCATCCTTGCCGTTAAGATGTAACAGAATAATGTCACAAATTAAGACTTCAAACAAGAAGCATTCTCCCATAGCCTTTGTGGAAACAGATCAGGCTGAATTGTAAGCAATTCTCATTCAAATTTCTATGATCTTGTATTCCTTCCTGTCAAAATAATGTTTATATGTGTGTATACCTGTATGTATATCTATATTTCCATTTCCTTTAGTGGCTGTCATTTTCATCTTCACTTCTCTGGGAACACTGAAATTGGGTGGGACTCACCTGGGGAGAGCAACACAGGAAGCGAGTCTCGTACTCTTCATTCATGGTGACCACTCCCCGAACATTTTCTTTGTCTACCAGCTACAAGAAAAACAAACAAACAAATGCATAGCCAAATACCCTTTTCAAAAAACATCTATCTAGTTCGGTCTCCTCAAACAGCTGCCAGTAGTTTTCCTTCGATGCCAACTATAAACATCTGTTCAATTTAAATTGGCAGGCAAATGGCACAGAAATAAACTTAGAAATCCATTATTTTAATAGAAATCATAATAAACACTGGTATTCTATAAAAAGCAACATATGGAATGGCACAAATTTAAATTCAATTATAACTACCACTCAAAAGCAATGTGTTGAATGTCTAGATCAGCGTTTCTCAACATGAGGGTCGGGACCCCCGAGGGGGTTGCAAGGAGGTTTCAGAGAGGCCGCCAGACAATCAGAAAACATATTTCTGATGGTCTTAAGAACCCCTTTGGTAGAAAAGGGTGAAGATCTCTCCGCCTGTCCTTCTTTTTCTTTTTGGAAACACCTCCCACCAAAAGCCCTCCTCCACTGTGATTGGCTGGCCTCTCAGACAAGGGGAGGGCTGTTTTTGAGACTCAAAGCAGGGAGGGGAGAGCAGGCATGCTTGGCGCATGGCAGCGTGGTGCGCATGTGTGGGCAAGGGAGAGTGTGTGAGACTGCCGTGAGACCCTTCAAAGCATGGGAATGCTGTGTGGGAAGTTTGTCCTAATTCTATTGTTGGTGGAGTTCAGAACGCTCTTTGATAGTAGGTAAACTATAAATGACTGACAACTGGAAAATAGAGGGAGAAAATGTGGAGGCTGTGACAGACTTTGTATTTCTAGGCGCAAAGATTACTGCAGATGCAGACTGCGGCCAGGAAATCAGAAGACGCTTACTTCTTGGGAGGAGAGCAATGTCCAGTCTCGATAAAATAGTAAAGAGTAGAGACATCAGACTGGCAACAAAGATCCGCCTAGTCAAAGCCATGGTATTCCCTGTAGTCACCTACGTATGTGAGAGCTGGACCTTAGGGAAGGCTGAGCGAAGGAAGATCGATGCTTTTGAGCTGTGGTGTTGGAGGAAAGTTCTGAGAGTGCCTTGGACTGCGAGAAGATCCAACCAGTCCATCCTCCAGGAAATAAAGCCCGGCTGCTCATTGGAGGGAAGGATACTAGAGACAAAGTTGAAGTACTTTGGCCACATCATGAGGAGACAACAAAGCCTAGAGAAGACAATTATGCTGGGGAAAGTGGAAGGCAAAAGGAAGAGGGGCCGACCAAGGGCAAGATGGATGGATGGCATCCTTGAAGTGACTGGACTGACCTTGAAGGAGCTGGGGGTGGTGAACGGCCGACAGGGAGCTCTGGCGTGGGCTGCTCCATGAGGTCACGAAGAGTCGGAGACGACTGAACGAATGAACAACAACAAATTAGTTAATTTAGCCTCCCCACACTTTAAGGTGGTTATTTCCCCCCAAATCCACCAGTATTCACATTTGGGCATAATTGAGTATTTGTGCCGAGTTTGGTCCAAATCCACCATTGTTTTGAGTCCACAGTGCTCTCTAGATATAGGTGAACTACAACTCCAAAACTCAAGGCTGATGTCCACCAAACCCTTCCAGTGTTTTCTCTTAGTCGTGGGAGTTCTGTGTGCCAAGCTTGGTTCAATTCCATCATTGGTGGAGTGCAGAATGCTCTTTGACTGTAGGTTAACTATAAATCTATAAACCTGTCAAGTTGCACCCTGAGAAAAGTTCGGCTTTTTGGCTTGTTGCTCCCACAAGTTTGGGAGAGCGGGTGGGGAAATTGGGGGGCTGCGTTCTCTCTCCCTGGGGAAGGCGGCGTGGGTTCCAGGACCCGGGGTGTCCCCCCCCTCCCCGTCGTCGTCGTGGCCCTCTCCTTCGGGGCCCGGTTTACCTGCCGGCAGCGTCCCCTGAGGGGCAGGGCGCCGAGGAGGACGGCGTGGTCGATGCGGCTGAACCAGGGCCTCCGCGAGCCGGGCACACGCTCCCTGGCCAGCGTGTAGAGCAGCGTCGGGTAGAAGAGGAGCCGGGCGGCGCCGGGGCCCAGCGCGCTCCGGAGCACCATGGCCAGCTCGCCCGCGGCTTCACGCCATCGTCGCAGCGGGAGGGGAGGCGGCGGCGGAGGAGGAGGAGGAGGAGGGCCGCCTGGCGAGCTCATCCCGCGGCCGCCGCCCTCATCCTCGCGGCCCCGCCGAGAACAGCCTCAACCTCCGCGGAGATGGAAGGCGAACCGCCGCGCCTCAGGGGAGAGCCGGGCGCGCCCATTGGTGCGTTGGGAGAGGGGGGCGGCTTCTTTCCCTCCCTCGCGCGCCCAGCACGGACTCTCCCTCTCACCTTCCTGTTTACACGCCCCCCTCCCTCCGCCTTGGAATGGTCTCTCCCGGAAGTGCCGCCATCTTGCGACACCGTCCTGAGGCGGAGGGAGCCGAGCGGGGCGCGGGCGGATCCCCCGGGGCAAGCGAGGGCGGCGGCCGCCAGGAGGAGCCCGGGAAGGGCAGGGAGGGGACGGCACGCAGCCGGCGGTGAGTTTGCGCCCTCCGGCCTCCTCCCGGGCGGCTTCTTTCCCTCCTGGGAGGAATATTATGCTGCTTTTTATTTTGACTGGGCCTCACTTTCCCTTGCCGGTGTATGTCTGCTTGTATGTATGTATGTATGTTTGTGGGGAGTTTGGTAGGGGAAAGGAATCGCAACCCTCCTCCCACCCCCCGCGTGTCCTTTTGGTTCGGTCCAGCCCAAACGCTAGGCTTTGAAAACAGGCGGGCCCATTAGGGGGAAATGGGGGGAGTCTTGCTTCACAGCCGATTGTCCCATTTCACCCCGCTCCCCCCCCCCCGCGTGTCCTTTTGGTTCGGCCCAGCCCAGACGCGAGGCTTTGAAAACGGGCGGGCCCATTAGTGGGAAATGGGGGGAGCCGACTGTCCCAGCAAGTTAGCGGTGTTGGCTGTGAGTAAAGCTTCCCTTCAGCTTGTTTCTCCTGAAATAGCTGCGAGGCGGGCGGGCGGGCGGGGTGAGGGGGGAATCACAGGACTCGGGAGCCGCCGCCATCCCAGGGCGAAGGGGCGGGGCTGGTCTCCTAGAGGCCGCTTTTTGGCCCGACGCAGAGCCTCCCCGTTACAGAGTCTGCGATTGACCCCCAACAGCGCCCCCCCCAACCCCACCCGGGTAAATTAACCCAGGACCACTGGGCCTCTGTGTAAAGGGATTCCCACTAGCGAGGGGTTCGCATGGCGTGGATTCCGGGCCGTTTTATGGACTTGTGGGGGGGAGGGGGGAGGTCCCAGTCCCTAGAAGGTTGGGCACGTGATAGGGTTTAAATGGCGAGCTTCTGACTCTTGGAAGAGACGCCTTCCTTGGTTTATAATGGAAGTCTTTTCCCCCCTTCCTTCCCTCGCTCTCCTCTGGTAACTTGGCTCCCACAAGTCATGTTTTGAAGCAGCTTGTTGGGAAACACACTGAAATGGGAGACGAGACGGATGAGGAGGCAGAAAGGTGGCGAACAAAGTGGAAGTGGGGGAATTTATTTTTTAAATAAAGATTTCATATGGGTAGAGATTTAGTGTATTTTTTAGATTGCTCAGTAACAGTGTAGTTTAGCCACACATTAATGCTTGAAATGCTCTCCAGAATTTACTCGTTCCTTAGGATACTCCTCTGAGAAAATATTTCACGTTTGCTGTCTCCTTCTGCCCTGTACTGCTTCAGAATGTGCTGGGAAAAATCTTTTCATGTAGGAGTGATTTTATATTGTCTGCAATGTACTTGGGGTGTTTGGGTGTGGTGAGCGTTTCTTTCTCAGATACTTCTACAAGGATCTGTAGTTTTTTCTGTCTTTCCATTCATATGCCAATAACATAGTGTTCGCTAATGCTTTTGTCTTTTTATTCTGCTCAGAACATGAAAAAAAATGAGTATTGAAGTTAGTTTTCCTAGCCTTGTGTCCCACATATAGGGATGATATTCAGTCCTATCTGACATCACCAAAACTAATTAGAAGAACTAACATCTTTTATACATATATATATATATATATATATATATATAAATTTCTTAAGACATTGCTTCTATTCCTTATACTGGCTGCTGCTTATTCAGTTGCTTGCTGGGCAGAAAAACACTAATGCCCACAGAATGGTCTCTGTCTGGTAGGATGATACTGTGGATATAGAACAGTCCTTTGGCAAACTTTGGTCTTCCAGGTGTTTTGGACTTCAGTCCTCAAAATTCCTAACAGCCAGGCTGTTAGGAATTGTGGGAGTTGAAGTCCAAAACACCTGAACGACCAAAGCTTGCCCATGCCTGATATAGAAGGTGCTGATATAGAATCCTCTTTCAAAAAACAAAACAATTGGAGTGAGAGTGGAATATTCTTTTCACTTCAACTTGACTTTGATCATGATGTAGAGGTAATTACATGATGGAGAAAAATGGAAAAGGTAGAGAAGAGGAGATGAAATGAGTTGAGAGGGAAAGCTGTAAGAGGAACAAACCTAATTCTGCTAAATTCTCAGCCAGAATTGTGCATTTAAGCACATTCCTGCTTATTCCATAATAACTAAAAAGTAAACTTGCAATTTAATAGAGAATGGGATGACACACCAGACTAAAGCACTCCTTGGTGTGGCTGTTAACTGAGCATTCAAAACTGAGGCAGAAGGATTAATTAAAAAGCAACTGTGAAACTGAATTTTCAAGGGAAGTGCAATCCTGTGTAGCATAGCTTAAATCACTTTTTCCAGATCAGCTATATACACTGATCATGAGTAAGTTTCGGTTGTCTTGATGGAACTTCATTTTAAAGCACTGTATAAAAACAAAATGTATATATATATAACTGCACAAAAAAAACCTCTTGATGTTATTATCTCACCAAGGACCCTATGAAGAATACTCCTCAATGTTTTTATTTTAGTTTTTATTTTAAGGTATTTTGTTTTGTGGGTTGCTTTTACTTTTATGTTTTTTTGGGGGGGGGGGTTGTTTTTTGGGGGTTTTGTTTGTTTGTTTTGCTTTTATGTATTATGACCATATGTAAGCCACCTCGATTGCCTTCAGGGAGATGGTGGCAGAGTATAAGAATAAAAGTATTATCAATGTCACTAGTAAGATTGGTATACAGTTCCTACATATGCTAATTTACAGCCATGTCTAAAAACATGCCATGACTGCAAATATCTTTGAATGCAAATTTCAGAAGTAATATGAATTTTTAGAGATAATGTCCAGAATGTAGTGGGAGATATCCATTGACATAACTGTTTCTGCCTATAGATCAAAAGGGGGGAAAAATCTCTGCTCCCTGCTGTAGCGCCCCCCTTTCAAAAACTTCTTTCAGAGACTATAATGCTGATTGAGATATTAGAATAATCAAAACATAGATGGCATGTTGAGTCATTCCAAGGCAGCTAGTTAGTCATTGTGTCCAAATGTACTTATTGAAAAGATACAATTTTCCAGCAAAAGATATGGTGCATAATTTCTTACCATGTTACAAATTACATGGAGACAGAACCTGTGTTTGAATTGGCTTGATTGAAATATCCATTTACTCTATTCAGCCATAAACAGTATTTTATTCCCTTGGTTTACAGATGTAAATAATAGATACAGGATTGTGCTTTACATTATTTGTGCATCTAGGAAATATTATTATTAAATGTCTGTGTTTCTCTCCTCCCTTCCCCCCGCAAGGATTTTCTTAGTGGCTATATTAAGGTATGAGATAATATGATTAAATATGTCTGCTTCTGTGCTTATATAAATAAGTGGGTGATGAACACCTTTTATTTACTGAAGAAGAACATATGTATGTGTGCATATTGAGCATAAGTACTAAATACACTACTGATGTATAAGAAAATGAGTGTGTCACATGTTTTTACATATTTTGCTTTGCTTTGAGTGCTTCTGAGCCTTTACACTATATCCAATATATCATTAGCAGAAAAAGATGAAGGAGGGCATTCCACAAATGCTTGCATGTTTTACTAGCAGCAACTAAAACAGTGGAATGACTAGTACCAGAAATACTTCGTGTATTGGAATCACAGTGAATTGTGGAAGTTCTTATGCAGTAACCTGCATAAATGGAAGCAAAGGTTTCGTTTGTTGCTTCATTTTACAGTTGCGTCTCCCCCCCCCCCCCAATTTGTGTGTGTTAGGAGCCCAGGACTTCTGCAAAAGTGGAAAGCCATGAATATAATAATTCCCTCCCCAACACATATGCTACCGACTTTTTCCTACAACAGCCCTAGTCCAGCAGTCCCTTCCCATTACAAAGCCTCATCCAAAACAATCCACCTGCTTCATTTCTCTCCTACTTCCCCTTCACCTGGTGTTTCATGTCCTGCCAGCAACACCACCCCCTCACTCCATTCTGCATCTTCCCACTACAAAAACTCAAGTACCACTACCAAAGATCTTTTCTCCTCCTGCTGCTAAAATTTAATTTAATCCCCTTTTCCACAGACAGTGGAAGGAGTGAGGTGAGGAGGTTGATTGTTGGGAAATTTATTCAAAATCCTGCAGGAGAAAGAGAGAGAAGAGGAGGTGACTCATTGGGGAAAGAGTTCAACCAGGCAGCAAAAGGAGAGCCTTCATGGAATCACAGAGTTGTAAAAGACCACAAGGACCATCCAGTCCCCCCCCCCAACCCCCCAATTATGGTCAGATGGTGGGAAATGCTGTGAGGGGCTGGTGTTTTTGGCAGGACTTGGAAGAACAAGTGGAAGAGCAGCAAAATGAGTGGGATAAAGAGATTGAGATTAAGTAGCATTTAAAAATTGCAGCTGGATTTTCAAGTTGCCCATCTATGCACTATGTCGATAACCCTCTATTATTTTTTCAAATAAACATTGCATTTGTGTTTTTGTTGCTTTTTAACTCATATTATTTGCTTGCTGGCTTTTATTGCTGTTGTGTGTGTGCTTTATAATACCTTTAGTGCAACTCTAAATAATGTATTTGATACTTGTGCAAAGATGGGAATAGAATAGAACTCTGAATTATTAGAGTAGCATTACATTTAGTCATTCATCATCAATATAAAATGAAAGTTTGTTTAGATACAATCCTGCTATTAAAATTGTGCAGTTTGGCCTTCATATCCTTGGGGATTGGTCCCAGGACCCTACAGCTATACCATTCTTGGATGCTCAAGTCTCCAAAATAAAAAAGAAACTCTTAACACCACCCCAATCCCTTCCACCAACAGCACTATGGCGGCAGCTGCCTTGTGTGCATCCTAGCCTTCCACATGAACATTTTCCCTCTCTTCCTTCCTTTGTCCCTCACCTAAGATACTTCTTTGCCTTCAGTAGGAGAGCATCACATAACTTCTTTTGCCAAGGTCCTCATGAGGCAACTGGTTGGGGCATGAGAAAAATGTCCTGCACTGCTATTTTTGAAAAACTACTGTATTTTTAATTTTTTAAAATTGATATTTTTATTTTGATCTACAGTTGGTTGAATCTGTGGATCTATAGCTTTTGAATATGGAGAACCCACTTATGGCTTACAAAGATTC